CTTAAATATCGAGCCGCGCCTGATGTCGATTGCCCAGTTAGATTGCTTCTACATGGCTCCATGAGCCACCTGCTGTCCAATGTATTCTTGCGCCTGTTCTTCCAGGGCATTCAGCAAACGGTTAATTAAAACCCTAACTAATCAAACCTCCAAATACTTAAGCTTCTTCAGGGCTCGCTTGTTTTCTGAGCAAGAACACTCTATCAACTTTCAGGAAAAGAGTTTGTAGAAAAATGACATATCCGCTTATACATACAGATACAAACATATGTATATATATATATACATAATATACATACACATGCATATATATATATATTCACATGTTCTTATACTATCTTATCATCCTGGCCATGCTGTGTTTGGTATGTCTTATACGTATATATATATATATGTATGTAAATCTATAGAGAGAATGTGCTTTTCTGAGTAACAAGGGAGAAAGATACTTTTATCTTTGTACAATTTGCACTCCAAAGCTACCTGATGCCAACAACTCGTGCAAGGATTTAATTTGGGAGACCAACGCAAACTAACGTTTAGGTAAATTACGCAAAGGCAGCGCTTATGCAGCGCATCCTGCTTACGCAGCAAATGCCTTTGTCTAACTTACCAGTTTCCTGTTTCTCTAGGAGTCGGCGGCAGGGGCGTAGCCCTAAAATCTGCATGTGTATATATATATATATATTATATATATAAACACATTATACATGCCTCTCTTCTCAACTCTATATACTCTTTCCGCATGTATATATATTATATTATATATATAAAGAAACACATTATACATGCCTAAATCGCGTTGCACTTCATCTTTACTCAAAACTTAGTCTTCTCTTGGCAGGCAAGTCCTTCCAGCTATATAAGTTTTGGTTAGCAAGTTGCGTTTCTCGTTTCTCTTGAAATGAGTTTCTCTTCTCCAATTCCTCTTTACATTCTAGTAGCATCAAACAACGGAGAGCCGTCTTTGTATTTATTTGACAATGGGACATTATGGTTTGCTTGTCCTGTCTTTTGAACTATCTTGGCAGGAAAACTAGAAGCAAGCTCCAGCCATGTCGTGCTGGCGCTCCCTATCTTGCAAATAATTTAATATATACATACATCTTCATACATATCTTCAATCTTCAGCTGACTCAGTAGCAATGTGTTTTCTTGTGATGTCAAAAAATACATCACACTGCTCTATTTCTCTTGCAATGTTCGTTCTCTGGATTACAACATGGAGAGCGGCGATGTTTTGGAAAAGCAATTGCGGCTGTTGTTTTGGAAAACCACAATGAGGCTAACAGGGATCGTTTCTGCTTGGTTTTGTTTCGGCTGCGAATCAGGGTTGCTACTGCCAGTAGTATTGCTGCTGACTCTAACCAATTTGTATCAAACAAAACAAGAACCGCCAATGTATGTCGCACGCGCGAACTCTATTTGGAAGTGTCGCATCAACCTTGCCTCTTTCGGCATTTGCCGAGCAAGCACAAGAGCTAAAGCTACGGTCTTGGCTATGAATTCCAATTGAATCTCAAACAGCTTTGCTTAGCATGTGAATTCCACACAACAATCCATCAAATAAGAAGCTGTGCGAAAAAAATGGGGGTTGCGGTGCTCGTTGGCTCCAGCTGCGCGCCATCGTTGCGAGGTCTCTGGTGAAACGATCCAGGTCACGCAACCTGCCGTCGAAAGGTGAAAGAAAAGGAACGACTTCAAAGTTGAAAGGCGATTGCAATTGTCCCACACGAAACCTTCACCGGCAATGAACCGCTTGGACTCCACAAGGTGCAAAAAGCATTTGCTAAAATGCTTAGTCGTGAATACACGAGTATAGAACCATGCTTATCGTGTGTTTACCATGTATGTTCTTTCCGCACGGCCTCTTTCTGGTGATGATCCAGTGGCTATGCAAGAGGTTCCACATTACAGGTTCATGATTTCAAATCACAGACCTTTCTTGTCAAGACACGTTTATAGGTCTCTTTGCTTGACATGTTTCCTCAGTGTGAAGCATACTTTTTACTTCTCTTCATGGACAAATTGCATATGCCTTTTGTCCTGTCACTGTGCAACCTCTGAAACTTGTCAGGACATTGGATAGCCTTCTAGCCACCGCTTTAGTTGCCGGGTTTGAATTGTAAGTCACACCACTTGATGGGCAACAAAAGCCATCTGCGATTTCAAACCTTTCAAAACATATTCCAAGCTACTTTCTCAAAGTGACCCAAACCAGCCTCAAGCGCCGCCGTCCTTACAACAGTGTGTCAAAGCTGAGAAGAAACTTGCTTTGCTAGATTTGGGCGGAGAACTTGCACAGCTTGTGGTAATGGTTCAATGACCTGCATGCAAACAACGTATATAACTCTTGCATTGGAGCTGGGCCCGCAATTGCAGTGGGCATCTCTTGGTGCAAAAACTCTTTACATATCTTTATGTACATCGCAGAACACACTCTCCTGCGGTGGATCCACCTCCTCCTCTTCGTCAGGATCGCGTAACTGGTGTTCACAACGGGAGGAACGGTTCAAATGAAAACATCTGCGGCATCCGTACAGGAAATGATTACAATGATGATGATAACCTTCATGTGTTCTGTTCCTTTGCTGCATGATATTCTATCAATGACTTACTTTGCAGAATCCAAACACACTATTGAACCTTATGATATCTGGAATCAATCATTTGCTCGATTGTTCAGTTTGTTCCAGTTGAGACTTAACGAGCAAACATAGTCAAACTAGCTTGTCTGGCCATAAGCTCAATACTGGCCTTCCGACCAATGCTGGGCATGTCAGGATAAACCTTCCACAAAGGAAAAACAGAAAACATGCGGACGCATTGTTGTGACTTACTTGACTGGCCTTTATGTCAACATGCGTTAACGACAAGCATGCTTTTCAATTTTTAACCTTTGCTTTATATTGTCAAGTTCAAGTTGCCTGAAGCAGAAGTTCTTCCTCTGCAACGATGCGCTGTGCACGCCAAACCTGCCAAATATGAGTTTCTACCTCGAATTGTGGAGGTGTGGGTGTCTGATTGAACACTCTGAGTCTGAGGTGGCAGCCATGAATTCGGTGGTCTTGACACCGACGTAAGCAAAATTCATGAAGCCCCTGAGATACCGTTTTGATCGGAAAAACAGTCTTCCTTGCTGGTTTAAATATGCCAAGCTAAAACAACGACATCATGCAGAATGACGGTCTGACAGCGGATTTTCAATTAAAGACTTCTGACCTATCAGAGTTGAATACGTTCAGAGATTCTGTGGAGCACAGTGATTATCAGCCAAGCAACGGCCAAACTGTCAGCCAACCGTCAAAGGTTGCCTGCACAAGCCCAGGGATGCTGTCAAATAGGACCCTTGTCAAGATCAAAGTGCCAGTGACAGTTCGTGGTGGCCCAATGGCCTTGCTTCTTGCTGTTATGAGCACAACTGCACAAGCACCGCCGCGAATCAGTGGCAGCAGCCAATGAGTTCCCAACCTTGACGGCCCAAACAAGAAGGCACTTGGCCCAACTTTGTTTCACCTGCACGCATTCCTTTCTTCATCCACTAGGCATCCACACAAGGACAACCAGAAGGCTTGGAACGCTACTGCTGCACGTGGCTGTGGAGTCAGCCTGACCAAAAGTAGAGCCAGTTTGTGCTCTCTGTAGCGCAAACTATCAATAAGCTCTTCAACCCCCGAAGAGATCCAAACATAAACTCACAAATTAAAACCATAGGTTTGTCGACCAGCCTTTGAAAGGATTACACACGTGCAAGTGCGTAGTGATGCGTAAAACATGGTGAGCCCATCTAAGCCACCCAACATGCACATGGCCACGGAGCTGCCGAAGCCCAAGAAGCTTCCAATGATGCCTGGTCAACGATGGTCGACTCGCAAGTTCTAAGTGTCGTTCGACCCCAAAGCCGACAAGGCCCAAGGCAGGGCACAACTTAGCAATATTATGTAGTACAATATAGTACATTAGCGCGCATGCACTCTTGGGGCAATGGAAGACCTGTCACGAACAACTAGTCCTGGAGAAATCTGGGGTAGACTCGACTCTTTCCGCAAACAAGGGTTTTGAGCCCGAGTTTATGCACAAGCGCAGTTGGACCAAATCACGCAGCAAAGCAATAGACGATCGTGCAGGCGATCGAAAGCGCTTCAAAAAACGACTGTATACGACCGTTCTCTACATTTCTCCACCCTCACTGTTGCCACGCAACCCCTATGCATCATTGCAAAACCAACCAACACACACACACACAAACACATTGCTACCTTTGACCTCAAACTTCAGATGCTTAGCTTAGGCGTTTAAATGTACAGTACATGGATTACAGCCCGTTGCAGTCGTACAATCTTGTCCCATCACTGGATACAATGCAACACTACTACTGCAAATGCAAAGTGATCACCCACTTAGATCCCGTCAAGTCCACTTGCCCATCTCTGCAAGTTCGTGCCAATACCTGCGAGCTTTACACTTTTGAGGGAACAGCTGAAATCTGATGCGCTGGCACCACTGTCTACCACTTGCATGGTTCAATGGCAACCAACTTTGCACTGTCAAGTCCAATGTCACTAACAAGAAAGGGCTTGTATGGAGTATGGACCTCTAGTAACGCGCTGAACAATGAATGCTTGTCTGCCCCTTGGCCTCAGCTGATACTTTCTTGCTTCCACAGAAGTAGTGGGACGCTGATTGTAGGCAATGGCATGGCGGTAGAACAACCTGGCCCACTTGGTAGACTGCCCTTGCTGGACTTGCCTCAGTAATCTATAATTAAATATAATTAATATATATATATATATATCTATATGTGTATGCAGCATCCTTTCTTTTGCTTGCCATGTTGTATGAAGTCCTTGTGCAGAAAAAAAAGCTAGTCACAACATGTCACAATTCACAATAACCCAGCCTCAGCACTAATCGTTTCACCTAGGTCAGCACAAAGTCAACTCCTGAACTCCAATCCCATCCCATCCCAGTAGCCTTGTTGCACTTCATTTGCAAAACACAGGTGTTTTTCAAGTGTCACCTCTGGCATTTCAATCAACGTGCACGAGTCGACGTCGAACTGTCTCTGCATTCTGTTGCGTAAAGAAGGACCATCTAGGACCCGCACGGTGGAGCTGAACAAGATTCCCAAAAAGGCACAAAGGATGGTATTCCCAGTGATGGGCCTCGGTTTCAAGAGCCGAGCTTGACTCATCCTGCAAAGTGGATCAGCTGCTGTAGCCTAGATTAGTTGCCAGCAGTCTGCACTCGAAATGCAGCAGGACATTGACCACTTTCCTGCTTCCGCAAAAGACTCAGGAACAAACATAGTCACTGCCTGAAGGAACAAGTCCCAGGTCGCTGTGCCTGAAAGGCCACATACAACCCGCCGGGTTCGTTAACGGCCCACGTTTTGGCTGATTTCGTGCGTTTGCACACAAAGAAACAAATTTTAGCGGCGAAAACGGGTTGCCGAAACCAGGTCACCATTTCTTGAGAATGCAACCCTTCCAGGGTTTTTGTCCGGAAAACGGGATGATTTATTTTCGAGGGTGTTTGAGTGTTTGTTTTAAAATTTTCAAACTGCTGCCAACCTTTTCTTTCCCACATTCAGAGACCGCTTCGAACGCTTATTGCAACAGGGTGACCACCGGTGACTGTTGTGAAACCGATGACAACCTGTGGTGTGGTGAAGCCAATGACAATGCTATGAAAACGCTGATCATGTTGTGAAACTGAAGATTACATATTATGAAATCGATAACGATGTTCTCAGCATGACATCCACGTCCTCATTCCATCAGAACCCCCCCACCCCATTTTCATCACATGATTCGTCGATGACAACATCCATACACCGATGACAATGTTGTGAAACCGATGACAATGTTGTGAAACCGATGAACATGTTGTGAAACCGAACATTACATATCATGAGATCGATGAATGGAAACATAAATAGCCCAAAACGTAGGCCGGTAAGGAAGCCGACAGCACATACAAGTATGAGTGTTGGGAGCCAGCAGTGTACATGTTTCCAAAACTGTGGCACGGCACTCTTCTTCAGCCAATTTCAGTTTCACAAGCTGACCTACGCCAGGAAGTTGAGCAACAATTCCACATAAAACACTTTGAAGCAGGTTCAGCGTCGTTCTGCAACTAACTCTGGTTCAAACCAAACAAATATAAATATATATATATATAACGTTGCAGAACGCAAACACTGTTGTTGCCGCATATTATCGATCGCTCCGGGGGATGCTTCAGGGTATGTTTCGCACAGCTCCAAAATCCCACATCCATCTTCTTGGACACCTTTTTACAAACATACATACCCATGTGAAGCCTACTTTGACGTGCGCGGACAAATACTTATCAAGCGCATCACACAGTTCAATGAGTGAAAGGACAGTTACATGAATTGAGTCCGACAAAACTCTCCCTCTCCAAGCCCGCTCCGTTTTTGGAAGGGCAACCAAAGGCAAGGGGGGATGCTGCAGGGCTGGCAGGTCAGCACCCGCGGCAGACCCCCCCCAAACTCCACCAGAGGAACAGCAACTTGGGCTGTCGGATATGCCACGGGTCACCAAATCTGGGGAGGGAGGGTGGGACAAATAGATCTGTCAACCACCTCTACAACCTCAACCCAGCAAAGCTGCAGCCACTGAAATGAGCATGCAGGGAGGTGAGGGTTTGCAGGTTCCAACTCTCCCTCTCCAACCGCGCTCCTTTTTTGGAGGGACCACCAACGCCAAGGGGGAATGCTGCAGAGCTGGCAGGTCAGCGCCTGCAGCAGAGCCCCCCAACCCCACCAAACAAGTGGCGCTTCCAAGAACTTCCTCTCAGTGGCTCCGAAACGAAGCGTGCTTGGAAGTGAATGTGAGCCGGCCCTGGCTCACCAAACTGAACCCACACCTTCCCCTGCTTCTATCTAGTGCGTAGCACGCTTCGCAAATCTGTAAGAGGTTCCCCCGCGCTCAAGCAGCCGCCAGCCTTCGCGCGTGCGGCGATAGCTTGGACACTAGTTCTTCCACTTGAACAGCATCCAAGGCATGAGTGCGCAGCTTTGGTTTGTTCAGCGCGTAGAAAAGTGGCTGCAGCCAAGGCCGAATCCAACGCGCCCCCGAAGTGAACCAGACAAGCCGCCCGATCAAGGCTTGAAGCTCTTCTCGCGGCACTTTCTTTGGTGAAATACAGAAAGCCATCAAAGTGTCCAGCAGCACACATCGCTTCTGTTCAGGGAGCTCAGCGCACGCGCAGCGCTGAAAAACAAAATCCCAGCCGACCCAAGTCAGCTTGTGCCCCAGGTCTACTTTGCGCCACGACAAAGGGGAACTTTTGCTCCAACTCTCTGCCCAGGTAGGTTCCTTTTCACTAAGAGTTCCTCTCTTCTCGTATTCACTTTCAAAGGTTTCTCCTGTGGAACTTGCGAGAAAGCATCTTTCACACCTAGACAACCTAGCGCTTGAGAAGATGCTCCTTCTCCCTCTCTTGCTTCTTCCTTCTCACTGACTCTCTGAAAGAAGATTGTGGGTAGAAGTTTCAGTACATGTCCTGAAGTTGCTGGTGAGAAAATATAATCTCTCTTTCCTTCAGCGTCTTTTGCAACTATTAGTCTTGATCTTCTCTTCCACCTTTTGCTTGATGTTCCATCTCCATGGTGATAAGGTTCCTTTCTCCAGTCATACACTTTGCGTGTAGTCAGGCAACTGATGCCTTCTGCGCTACCTTCTGGTTTCTCTAGCGCTCGCATCTTCTGGAGTCTCCTCTCTTCAACTTCATCAGCTACTCGGTCTACCCAATCTTCTGGATCTTCTTCTGGTTCATGCTCTCCATCACGCCACAAGCGTTCAGATCCATTCAGTTTATCTTGTTTGCCTTCCTCTTCTCCTTCTTCTTCCCAGTCCTCTTCATCAACTTCTTCTGCAACTGGGGATAGCAGCCTTCTCCTGCCACTTTTACCAGGTTGATCTTGAACTTCTTGCTTGAACCCTCTGATGGTTTGAGTTTCTTCATAGGGCTTTCTTCTTCAAACAACTCAAATGCTTCTTCTGTTGGTCTCGAAGGCGCTGATGATGACCCCAATGAAGATAGTATAGGAGTAACTGGATTGGGTTGGCCTCCTGGGAATGATGTAGATGGGAATGCTTTTACTTTTGAAGTGTCTTCTCACCTGCAAAGAGAACTTTCTGCTTCTTACTTGGTGTTTCTTCTCCACTTGGCTTCGTAGTTCATTTCCATCTCTTTTTTTTGGTTTCTCCTGGGATTTCCAGCGGGCCTGGAAACGGTTTTGGCACTGGGAATAATGCCTCTCCCTTCTCTGAATCACTTCCTCCTTCAAGAGCTTTTGCCATGACTGCTTCTGCGTCTTCATCCTTGAACTTCAACATCACATGCTCTCGAGGAATATCTGTCTGCGCAACTGGCAATGCTTCTGCTCTTCTCTTTGACCTCCAAAGTTTGTCTGGTACTCTCATGAATAGGCCCTGACGCTTTTCTAGATTGCCAAGTATTTGGACCAGTCTTGATCTGTTCTCCTGACGCATTTGCTCAGGGCTACTTCCACACCATCTGTCAGGACGCAGGTATCTTGCTTTTCCACAATTCCCATACTATAGATGCCATCGAGCTTCTCCTTTGTTGAGACTTTTCATGTAGCCATGAACTGGTTCACCATATTCTGCTAGAAGTCCTGGGTAACTCTTGCCACAGACAAGTTCATATGGAGTGGCACCTTTGACTGGTTGATACCGATTCAACACCAGCATGTCTTGCTGCCCAGGTCGAAAGTGCGTGATCTGATCCTATCTTGATGCCAAGTCTCGACTGCGAGCCTTCCATGAAACTTCCTGCAAGCTTCCTCGCCCTGTCAACAGTATTCTCTGACAGAAATGAGCGATCTCCCAATTTTGAAGCGTTCAACCTTGTAGGAAGTCCTAGGCCATGACGAGCGTTGACCAGCATCTTGAGAATCTGTCTTGCTTTGGGTTCATTGTCACTTCTGTAGGTGATTGCTGAATACCCCGACAACTGGCTGAAATTCTAGCTGAAATTCATCAACTCTTGCGCAGTGAGACGAAATGGATTCTTGCTTCCTAATGGCGTAACATGAATGCATCCAGTCTGGCTGCCGATTGCAACAAACTAGACAACATACTGCTCTTGCTGACTTTGTTTCTGAATCTCTTGCTCTAGACTCTAGTGTAGCAAAAGTCAAAGCTTACCTCAGGAATACTTGTAGGTTTCAATCTTCGTTCGAGCTCCCGCAGGCATCAAATCCACTGGAGTCCGCCACAGCTTTTACCACTTGTAGTGTCCTGCCCCTCATCAACGAAGCTAACAATCCATAGGGCTTGATGCACCTGGTCTTCTCTGCTGTAGTTGCCAAGTCCATGTCAAAGTTCTCGTTTGGCTTGTCATGAATCTCTTTCAAGCCCTTCATGTAAGCCTCATCAACTGAGCACAAATACTTCTCAAATACCCATTACCACTTTCTGAACGCTTCTCTTCTTCTTCTTGTGGCCTGTCGTCAAATAGATTGGGCTTTGTGATCAACTTGGACCAACCTGCTGTGGTTGTTCTCACTGCCTTCTTAACTGCCGCGCCTGCTGATGTTGTTGCTTGCGTGCTCTGTGCTATAGCCTGAAGGATTTCTCTGATTTCATCCATCTCTGTCGCGCAATAATGTCCTTCTGACACAATGTATGGGGTACAGAGTGCAGCTCACAACAGTTCATCACCAGTCCAGCTATTTGGGTTCCAAAGGCCCCAGATCTATGGCTTGAAACGCTCCCGGGATCCCAGTGACCTAGGGGCTTTTCTCTGGAGCTCAAAATCGGTTACCCTCATCCTTGCTCCGCTACTGCGAACTTTTCCTTGGCAACAGGGCTGCGATCAAGCCACGTGTACAACTAATCCTATACAATGACACGTGTGATCTGCATTTAAAGTTCTTCACGCATATCAAACATTCAAAGTATTGGGCTCAACGTAAGGACAAACTGGAAGCCACCAACAACACAAAAATCTGAGCTTTCAAAATCAAGCACGAAGCGACATGTTCACTGTACACTCAACCTGTTTCGGGATAGGAAAATGAAGAACCAATGAATACCAATGAAATGCAATTGTATCTTGTTAAGGCGACTCCGCTCGCAAACGAGCCCCAGACTGGTGGCTTCCACTTCTTCATCCACCGGAGCCTGGACAGTGGACAGTTGCATCTGCTCAAATCAAGCGTGTCTTTGGAGGTTTACAGTCCATCCGTCCAAAGCAAGAGTAAAGCATGACATGTCCCTCCAAATCGAGTTGTATGCACAAACGGGTCCTGGTTCGTGGCATACTGACACATGCACATCAAGGTCTGTGCGGATGGACAAAGTTGGTGAATGCAAACAAGCCACAGCACCATGCAGTGCGGTGCAATGGTTGATGGATACACTTGGTAATGATGGAGATCCAAATGGAGTTTACTAAGGATAGGTTAGCCCAAGGGTGTTCCAACGTGATACATGGCTTTTTGTTTTGCTTCTTGGGATTCCTTTTTTGGACAAGTTGACACAGGGTCCAAAGGACAGGAAAGCAGTTTACAAAGTTCTCATTGATGCGACTGGCGAGATCATTGGGTCTTTGTTCTGTGGAAAAGGTGCAGCTTTGACCTCTACAGACTCTACAGGATTCCAAGATATTTTGAACGAAAAACAGCAGCAGCTGTGTTCTTTGCTTCTTGCTTTTCTGCGAAATCGACAAAGAATTGCTCAGATTGGGCCATAGTCGGCTATAGTCTGAAGATAGGGAGTGAAGTAGAAGCTGGACAAGAATGCGAACATATGCTGCAAAGGCTCACAAATGTTCAGGAAACATATTGAGGTGGGCATTCAGCATTCTGTACTGGGAGAGGGGAGATCAGAAGGATAAATAATGGCAACACAGTCAACTGAAGATTTTGGTGAGCATTCTGGCCTCGAAGGTGACTGCGATGCAGGCGCCAACCAAACTGGCAATGACGCGGAAGACGTGCCTGAGAGAGCCAATAGCGTTTTGCGCATGTCAATGGATCGAGCCGTGACAGTTGTCAAGCAATGTCCCCTGCCGATTCCCAAGCCCCCAGCAGGAGTGTGCGGTGGAACTTGGTGGGCCGCACTGTGTTGCGCAAGGCATTCTGGGCGTGAAAGGCTCTTGGCTTTCATGTTTTGGTCCCATTCCTTTTGCCTGTAGACCCACTGCAGCAACTTTTTCGCTGAAACATGAACCACTTGCTGCAAGCTCCACCAACTTGTTTTCAACTTCACTTTGGCCAAACTCCTTTGCACATCCTGGCGCTGTGCCTGCAAAGGATACTCGCGAATTACGCAGTGCATGAAGATCTCGAAGCCTTCATCTTGAGCCAAGCCAAATGGTGCAAGCACTGGCAGTAGACTTGGTGTTTGCTCGGAGGAATGCCAAACCTGTAAGCTGTAAGATTTGGTCGAAAGCATGGCACTCTGTGACCACGACCACATGTTATCTTGTTCTGAGTCTGGTTAACCCACTCGCCTGACCACTTGGTCCACTGCAAGCGCTGGACAATTGGAAAGATTTGACGAAGCTCCTGAGAGCGCTGATGCTGGTAGCCATGAGCTTATTGTCCGGGCATCTACTCGTCGTTAGTGTGTATTCAGTCTAGTATCGAATACAGTAAAAAAACAGTCCAGTACCTAATGCAACAGTGGGGTCTCACACCAATATTACCTATATATCATGAGGTCTTGTCCAAATTGTTTCCCAGAAACAATTGCAGCCTTGTGCTATTATCATTCATTTGTGGCCTTGTGCATCCTTGTGCTCGCAGCAACTGCTTGCACGTCCTCCTTTCGCAGCTCAGCAACTTCACCAAGCCTTGAAAGCAGTCAGTAGGTGGCTAGTGGACTTTTTGAGAGTCTCAAACCAACACAAGAACAAATAGCTCAAAAACAGGTCAGGACCTTGGGTTTGGCTCTTTGGCATCATGAAAATGTGTGCAAAAAGCTTATAGCATCATTTTTGCCTGGCTTTCACCACACTCTAAAGCCTGTCGTGGATGGGCAGCAAGGAAAGTATATGTGTGGGCACAAGTCGGAGTTAGCACCGTGGAACCGCACTGCCCCTTCTGTCGCTCGGCGTTGTCGACTTTCAGGGTAACGTTGTCAACAGCCCTGTGCACGGCACACGTTGAAACTCGAGTGCAATGGAGAACTTTGACGGGCATGATCATGAAGGATGTATCTGGCTTCTGATAGAAGTTTGAAAGACCAATTCAGCATATTTGCACTTTAACATGTTCCGTCTTTAAACGATATATGATATATGTATACCATTTGCTGACTCCAATCTTTTACCCACGGCATCATGGAACAGTAAAGAAAGAAAGTATGGATTAACTTCCGTACGGACCGGTGCGCAATATCTTTTAGTTGCCAAATGCAGCTGGCCTGTCCCAGTTGTTCGCCTGATTGGCCAGCTCATACTTCCGTACCTCCCGCCACACGCCGGCAAGCAACAATTGCTTGATTGACACTTGCTGGATGAAGTGCAAGATGTTACAACTAGGGAGCCCGGCAAACTCCCGGACGCCAGGAAAATGCTTTGCCGTCAGCCAACCTAAAATCAATGTTTCTCTGGAACCAGTTGGATCCGGTGGACTAAGACCCGCTCTGTCCCTGTCTCTGTCTCTCTCTCTCTCTCTCTCGCTTTCTCTCTTGCTCATTTTTGCCCTCACCCTCTCTGCCATGCTTTTGATCACTCTGACAAACTCCCTTGGCATGGAAGCTTAGCCTTTAGCGTTCATCATGTGCTTTCTTTTGACTCGCCATTTGCCTGTGAGTGAGATGTGAGGGTCACGTTGTTACACATGTGGCATTTCTTCAGCCCAGCTTCAAATTTGCAAAGTTGACCAATAATGACCAGCCAATATACATTCTATTCTTCGCACGTGCTTCAGGATACTCGACATGTTCCGAAAGTGTCTCGATCAAACGGGGTCCTCTTCAAAGAGATCCACTCTGCATCTCGCTGATCAGCACCCCACCTTGATACATCGGCAACCGTTTTACTTTAACGCACCAAAGTCAAATGTCTTTAACACACACACACACCCCGCCGATTAGCAAAGTCAAAAAACGGCTTTAAATCCAATGGCCTATGACATACTAGCATGACTCAGCAGCCAAAGGGAAAGGCTTTGTGAGCTCCTCCTGATTCTGGTTGTCCTGTGACTTGCACAAGGGGTCTGCAATCAATTGCCAATAGCAATCCATGAAGGTCAACAAATTGAATTCATCTCAGGTGGGCATGCATGCCTCAAAAATCCGGCTGGCAAAGATTACTAACCCAATGGCCATGGTGTTTTGATTGTTTTTGCAAAATCCAACTTGCAACGGCACTCTGGAAAAATGGAGTCCCGCGGAGTCATCTCGATCTCGGTGCCAGGTGGTATAGCAAGGAGATCATTGGCATCTACCTTCAGCACTGTCGCCATGCAGTCCGATCGTGCTCTGATAATCCAATCATGTGACAGTGATCCTATTCCTACGCAGTACTGCGTTCAACGATCCTACCTATGCGCACGTGAATCTCAAAAAACATCACCCCCAGTCAAGCCGCCGTCAGCGCAGAAAACACCAACAGTTGCAACTTCGTCAGCAAGAAGACTTCGCGCTGATAATCTTAACAGGAGTGACAGGCGGCTCTGCCCCACAAAACAATGAGCCGTGCTTCCCAACCCCAGCTTGGTTTGCAGTAAGCACCCTGGAACATAGCCACTGGGGGATGTTACAACAAACTTTCCACGCAATTTTGGCATGAACACGTCAACCAAATGTGAGTTTCTCTCTGATCTCACAAATATTGACAAATTTTGCTTTATGGGCCCATTCATTGAACGTTTGTGTCACTTTGCGCATGAACAGTGCTTGTGTGTGAGCACGTTGTCATGACATGTTTGGACCATGCGCTTGGGCACTATTGGGCACGACACATTTTTTCTAGCCATGTTGCCCACTCGTTCCATGCAGTCGTCCGATGCTGGTCATGGCGTCAAAGCTGGGGCCTGAGGTAGAGGAAACTCAGTAGCAATGGCCGGGATGGCCTGCAGGAATCGAGCAGATGGGAATCCCAGATGGCCTGGGGAGGGGGCCCAAAAGGACATCCCTGATGAAAAATCTTTCGGCCACCTCGAGCGGTTGGTGGTAGGCCGCGTTGACCGAAGTGGTTGGTCGCTACCATCGCTGGCAGATCGGACCACGCCCCCACGCTTGCAACGATCAGCCTTGGTTGAGGCTGGGGCCGAGGGGCAGCAGCTGGTGGAGGCTGGCAACCGTCAGAAAGATGGCTTCGCAGCTTCAGGTTTGGAGGAAATGGCTCAAGTGAGAGGTAAACTGCCAAGAGGAAAAGCGGGATGCCTCCATAGGGAGGTGGCTGCGGAGTAAGCAGGTCGTAGCGTAGCACCATCGTCACCGTGGAGGCGCAAGCGGCGCAAGGCCATATCTTCCTCTCAAGCGGTCGAGACAACCTGCCTACCAACGCCTACTACCTGGTCGAGCGCGGCGAAACGCCCGAGTTTTTGGGTCAGAGGGGCCAATGAGATGATGTTCAGTTACTGCAGGGTCAAAAGTCAAGGTGCTGGTGAATGGTTCCAACCGTGATAGGGTGGCACAGATGGTGATCGAGAAGGAAAGTTGGGAGCGGGGCTTCGCATCCACTGGGGTCGGTTGACCGGAGACCTCGAAATCCTGACGACAAAAAGGGGAGCACAAACGAAGCCATTTCCACGTGTCCGCAGCAGCCAAAGGAGGTGAGAGCGACCTGCCATCCACCACCGCGCAGCAGGTCACCAGCAAGAAGGTGTAGTGTAGTACAGGGCACCTGCAACCATGTCCTCTTCAGTGAGACACTTCCCACGAGTCGGGCGGGGAGATGGTTGAGGTGGAAATCGGCCAGGGCCTGCGGCTTCAGGTTGATTCGTTTGGGAGGCAGCGGCAGAGCTTGGCACGCGGAAGGACACCGGTGTTCTACACCAGGAGAAGGGTTGCTGGGTGGTGATCCGGCAGGCGAGCTTGGTGATAGAGACTCAGGTTCCACCTGCTGAGGTAGGATAAGGGCAGATCGTACTGGCAGATCGCACAGGACACCGGCATGATCAACCCCATGCCACCACAGGCGGGAGAACGATGTGCCCTTGTGAACGGCAAGCGCGCTTGAGCGAGAGGCTTGTTGTTTTTGATGAAGCATCCTACAAAAAGGGGTGTGTCAGAGCCTGTCCCTAAGGAACTTGACCACACCAAGGAACCTACCATTTGTAGTTCGATTCAATGTTTAGCGCTTGCATGTACAGCGCCGGGGGGGCAGTGAGTCTCTTACGAATACCATTCACTGCCCAACGAAGACGGTGGTTTGAGACTGTGACATTCCTGAGGGTCGCTTTAGGAACGTACCTGCAAGAAAGTTTATACCCATTCTAAAGAGTTAATGCGATGTGTTGATAAACCAACCCAGCACTTCCTGCCGTTGATTCAAGTCAAGGTCTAATGGAGTGTAAAGGCCTACTTGCAATAACCCGAAACATCATCTACAGCTCTTGCAAGCATTGACCTAAGTGTGTCTCGCCACAGGTTCCCACTGAGGTCTGTGGTGTGATCCCCATCGAGGGGCGCGTCTTGCACATGCCCTTAAGGGTGATCCTTGATTGACTTCTTGTTCCTGCGTTCACAGCTGATTCAGCCGCTTGCTCGAGAATGCTGAACGGATGCCGCAGGGCCCACTGAACCACCCGCAGAATGGCATGAATCATGCGTCTGAGTATTCACAGCTGATAGGACATGCTACTAAGTAATCACTCTCAATTTTCAAACTCTTTAACGCGCATTTAGCGCTCGATTTGACCGATCGACACTTACTCCATTGTCTCATCTCTCGAACTTGAAGCCACGCACTACCCATGGCATGATCCTACAGCGCCGACGCCTCCAACGATGCCAGTTGCTTATGGCACCGCAACTCCTACACCTACACCCATACATTATCACCTTCCAGTTTCCCGCGCCACGCCCCCAGGCATCACATTGGGCACCCAGACCGGCCCTGTGACCATAGTTGAGCAACATTGCAATCCCAGACACCACACATCCTACGCCGCTTGAGTCCATTCCCACCGCACCTCCCACGCGAACACCGCTGGCAATGGACTCAAACCCAAACCCTCCATCAGGGGACACCGTCTCCGAGCCGCCTCAGCCCATTTCATCACTCTCAGCAACTGACCCCACGCACACATCCACCTCCGAGCAGACCGCCGCATTAGTGGAGGGAACACTCCCATCTCCATCTGCTGTCGCCAATCCACCGCGCGACCCCACATACATCCAACATACAGCCAGCGTCTACGACACCGCCACCACAGCCCACAGACAATGCTGACACGGGGGCAAGCAGCCGATTCACACGCCATTGTCCCCACTTCTACCCACGCCTCGCCAACCACTACAGACTCTTCCGTCGACTGCGACGGCGACTATACCACCAAGCAACCAGATCTAAACACACCCCACAAACTACATGCACTCACTGTCCAAAGCAACCTGACCATATCCACTCGAGCTTCATACAGCACGCCAGCTCCGCTCAGGTCGCTACTCCGACCTCGAAGTCTACGCCGTTCGACGTATGGCCGCCAGCCTTGAAGAACCAGGACGTGGCAAGGCCATGCGCATTCTTAACGAATCCTTGAAGTACGGCAACCTCACGCAACCCAAGACCAACCAGCCATTCGCAATTCCATTTCTAGCGCAAACCACCTTTCAACAGAACACTTAACGATGGGTCACTGGCCTGCTTCACCAGCGCAAGCGCCTTGCCATACCATTTCACCTTCCCACATGCAAACTCAGGGAGGCAGCTCGCAACACACTGCGCACCCAACTTCACAACCATCGCCGTTGGGAGCAAGTTTTCCACCAACCTCCTCACGAGGATCAGCTCCCTTGCGGCTGCGCGCGCCTCAGCAAACTACCAAATCAATCCACACCACCCACGAACTGCCAGTGGCAGCGACACCTTCAACACCTACACATTGAGCCACGATTCACAGCGCGATCCATCAAGCAGTTGCAACACTACCTTGGCGATCAGGTCGTCCTTCATCGCACCGACCATGAACTACAACACCTGCGGATCTTTTGTCCGAAGATCTATTTCCAAGGATGGCAATCACCTGAACTTTTCCAACCCCTTCCAGACCACACCACCGACACCATTCGACTCCATCTCCAGCAGGCCTCGTCAGGCCACCTACGCAGGAAATACCGATGGGGCTTTCGTGGCAAGTTCACCATACCTTATGGCATTGTCCACCTCAAAGCCAAGAAACAATGGCCGAAAGGCCGCGCCGTCATTTCGTATTTCACTTCGGTACTCTTCTTAGCGCCGTCTCCACCGCAATAACAACCATGATCCTTCGCCTTCTACCCCAAGCACCAAGCCAGCTTTCCATTCCACAACTTTGGCAACACTTCCATCACTATCTCAACCGCGCACCGTCACGCATCACCCTACATACCATCAACGACGACCTTGTGGGGTTCCTCAACTCAGTCCCACAAGACCGCCTGCTGGACGCGGTCAAGAGTGTCACCACAAAGTGTAATCTCACATATGACACATCCACTCACCATCGACATTTCTTTGCCACAGGCAACACCATTCAATTGTCTCACATTGGGCAACACCACCGTCGCCATCGACACCGAAGAACCACATCGGCATCCAAGCCTTGATACATCCTGATTCTTTTCGGCAACCCAGTGAAGCTGGAACCCGTGGAGGACATGCACCTCCTTGGCTTCGATGTGGACCTCACTCAACGCGCGATCACCTACCGTCCACCAAATGCCCCATGGAAGATTAGGGGCCCACCTCGTCCGCAACTACACCTACCCGGCCTCGGCAGCTGAGCGAGCGCTGCTCAACTAGCCCACTTATACGCCTAAAAAGGGCATGACCTAGCACAGTGCTTGCGAGTGATCCGTGCAAAACGATCCGTCGCCCTGCTTGACCTTTTGTGAACGCAGCCAGAGTGTCAATTGAATATTACTGCATGACCAACTTCCCTCCTCCACCCCAATCATGAGAGCGCGCCAAATGATGGCTTTTTGTGTGTGTCAAAGCCTGTCTCTAAGGAACTTGACCACACCAAGGAACCTACCGTTTGTAATTCGATTCAATGTTTAGCACTTGCATGTGCAGCGCAGGGGGGCAGTGAGTCTCTTACCATCAACTGCCCAACGAAGACGGTGGTTTGAGACTGTGACACTCCTGAGGGACGCCTTAGGAACGTACCTGCAAGAATTTTCGAACCCATTCTAAAGAGCTAATGCGATGTGTTGAAACATTCTGTTGAACCGACCCAGCACTTCCTGCCGTTGATTCTCAAGTTAAGGTCTAATTGAGTGTAAAGGTCTACTTGCAGTAATCCGGGACTTCATCAACTGATACAGCTCTTGCGAGCATTGATCTAAGTGTGTGTGTGTGAGCATGTTGTCATGACATGTTTCGATCATGCGCTTGGGCACGACACGGCCCTTTTCTGTCAAGCTTGAAAAAGAACGCGCAAAGGGCTGTGCGGATTCATGAACAGTATGCCGCTCTACATACTCTACTGCTCTACTAGTACCGTTCCCAGCCCCCCTATACAGCCTACACACAATCCCCAAGCACGTATAAGTATATATATATATACATACACAAAACGCATTCTGCTGCTTGTCTTCATCTTTAAAACCATATGCTCTTTTAAATCATATTGGTTGGTTTCCAAAATGTCTTTTCCCAAAATGGTGCACTCGTCGCAATTCCATGGGGGCCCGCTTCTAAATCTCCTTTAAACTTCAACCACACTCAAACCACAGGGATGTTAGACATGAAGGCGTGTGAACTGCAAAAACTGTGAGAGGTGTCTAGCGCGGACTGCTGAGATGTTGGAGCTGTTGCTGCTGCTGCTGGACTCCTGCAGTTGTTTCCACTTTTTGTTCTCAGACATCTTCAGAACGACATAGTAAGAAAGGACGTAAGAGCTGACTCAAAAGATTTGGATGTTGGATGGGCAAATTGTCAAGAAATGGACCGTCGTCTAGCGCGGTGCTAGCGCGGATCTAGCGCCAGCCTAGCGCAAAAATCTCCGTCGATTTCTTTATCCTGTCAGATTCTTATTTTTCCTGCTTGCTTGTCTTCTTCTTGTTGTGCATTCTTCTTCTTCTTCTTCTTGGCTTTTCTTTTTCTTGTCTTGCTTCTTCTGTTTCCTGCTCTCTGCTTGTTTCTTCTTTTTCCTGCTTACTATCCTGTTATGAAGAAACCTAGCGCCAACCTAGCGCCAATCTAGCGCTGCCTTGCTGTATCACCATATTCTGCTGGGGGCCCGCTTCTAAACGAAAACTTAAAAACACATCTACAGCCTTAAAAGTTTACGTTTATCTATATTTTTTGAGTAGGGCTTTTTGAGCGCAGTCAATATGGATATCTCAGGGTATCAAACAGCGAATGCTTTCAGGCCTCATCAAGTGCAATACCCAAGCTGGACTCATCAGAAGCTTGACTTGAGGCATCATCTGGCTCCTCCTGCTGAAATTCCTGGCGCCAAGTACATTGATACCCTCATGCATACTTGAAACATCTTGAAACCTTCTACAAGCTGCTGTACTTGTACAGTGCCAGCGAGAGGTAAACGAAAGCTAGGGCAATACCTTAATGGCCTTAACGTTATAGATGCCCAGCATCATACTCAACCGAGGCGGACAGCTTACGTTATCGGTCCGATGCCCTACTGGCTCGGCTGGTGAACGATCGCTGTGTTGGCCTTATGTAGGCCTCCCCCGGTTTGCCAAAGCAAGAAACTAAGTAACGCTGGCCGCGCAGGCTTGCATGATCAGACTCTTGCGCACCTGCGTGGAACCTGGCAAAGCCAACGTCCTTGCAGGGGAGCCTGGCAAAGCCAAAGTCCTTGGAGGTGCTGGAGCCTCCTGGAGATTGTCTTGTGGACAAATGCCGTGTCGACAGGCGCATGCCGCATGTCTACACTGCGAAGTTTGTCAAACCTCAAATGCCAATTCTGAATATCATCCACAATATCTTCGGCATGGGTCCTCCAAGCGCCGCTCGAAGGCTGCAGCATTCTCCTGAGGCCTGAGCAAACCTGACCTAGCCTGCTTCAAATCTTTGCACCAGAAGACAATGAAAAGCAATGATGTTTTGTTCATTTTCTCATTGGCCGAAAGCAAAAACTACCTCTGAAGTCGACACCACTCCCACTGTGTTCGCCCGTCAAAAAGGCTCAGGTAATAGACCTGGAGCCACGCACGCATCGAGTGAACACACCGAATTGAATCCAACACATGATCTGGTGAAGATCTGAAGATCTGTCAAAGCCAAACAGGGGTCAACTCTGCAGGAATTACAGTCCTGTGAATCCTGTGAAGACAAGTTAAGTCTCATCTTCTTCTGGCGTCCGTGTTGTTTGACTTCCCGGGTCCTGTACCGTAAACTCTGTTTTGATGTTATAACATTACAAGGCTGTGGGTGCAAATTCGACGTGCCATATACCAAGAGTTGATCAATGTAAGAATTTCAAGGGTCTTCAACAAGCACAACTCTTGTCAGGATAGTGTAGGTTTGTTTATGAACACGCACCCACAAAGCCTACAATAAGCAAAAAGGTCAAGGTCGGGGTCCGAGGGTTTACTGTACTAGTTGAAACATGACCAAAACTTAACCATGCAACTCTGCAACTCACCAAAATGCCGTGCGTCAAGTCTTGAGTATGTTTAATATTTCAAGAACCTGCAATGTGTACAGTGTGCCCAGTATCCAAATACCTCAGACCTAGGTTTCACCACAAGCTGGTCAACAGATTGGGTTGTGTTGTGCACTCATTTTTTTGCCACGTGCTACAACGTGGCTTCGTTGAATCAGTTGAGGTCTCAATCAGTTACAATAGAATCGAGACAACTAGTTACTGGAACAACAACATTCTAGAAGAATGCATTCACTGAGGACTTTGGTGGCAAATTACAGTAGATGACAAATTCTCTTTTTGTTGGCGGCAGCAATGCTTCAAAGTCAAGCACAACAATGGCAATGTGCCCCGATCTCCATGTGAAACTCGATGAAGTCTCTTGAACGTCCTGCTATTTGGTGCAGCCTTTTCTCTGCCTCAATCTTCTGTCTTGGTGTCCAAAAAATCAATGAGAGCCAGCTAGTCAGTAATCCGCTTGATCTCCGGCGCCCGGTATTCCAGAATTGCGAGCACCAGCATGGCAAAGTTGCAACAGTGGAAACTGAAACATACAATGCAGAACTCCTGTGCAAATGATGACAATCTGTTGACATGCACCTTATACGATCCCTGTCCCCAAACAAGTTGATCCTGTTGCCTGACGGCAGACAGGCAATATAGTTGTTCGATGTTGTTCGGTTTCTTCCTGGGTCATGCAACTGAACATCTCGGCAAATGTGGTACTGTTTCCTGTGATCCATGCCCGACACAGTTCATATATGACTTGTGCACTCAAGTTTTTTTCTGCTACTGAGACACAACAGTGGCCATTTTAGGGCAGCTACATCAGGTGCCAAGTTGGTCTTGGCAATGTAGTTTTTGACCCTGGTGGACTGTGCTCTGTACTTAACGAATGTTGCGAAGTGCTGCCAAGGCCAAGCAAGGCCTGCCCTGCCCCACAATGTAAAAGCGCCTTCCACTGACGACAGGTCCCAAACGCTGACAGAATGCAGAGTTTGTTCCTATAGCCTGTGCCGTCTGTGTGCATGGTGTGAACAGCCCGTGCCCCAGCTCTGACAAGGCTACTGTGCCTTCAAGACCTAGTCCGTTGGGATGATTATGCAGACTGCGTATAGTATCGTATAGTATCATTACCCGGTCCCTGCACCGATTCTCGCTCCCCAGCCTCACCTCCCACATCGTTCGAGTAGAGGGTCACATGGTCGCTACAGAACCCAGGCACCAAAAATGGCTTTATCATGACCATCCACAAAGCATATTTAACATTGGTTGACAGGTTTCCGTTTAACCCTTTCTGTCCTGCAGGATGACTTTTATGACGTACAGCAAGTAGACAGAAAAACATGCACCTCCTGTTGCTGCGCCAAGGAACAGCTCCTCTCGAAATGGAAAAGGGGGAATTGAGATTGCCCACCAATAGCTGGTGTAAAGCACCAGCCCCAAGACTGGGAGGGAAAGATCTAGAGCAGATCCTTTCGAAACAATTCCCCAATGGCTTAGGATATGACCGTACGCACTCTTGAAGACTGTGGCACAGTCACCTCCGGTCCACGAAGCGCTGCAGGCAGGTTGATAAAAAGGATCTTGCAGCTTGTATTCAACGTACATGGCGTAAACTGCAACACAAATGCCGACGGTCGCCACCCATTTGACCTTCATTGACCTCTTGATTGCCATCGTGCGGAGTGCACGTGAATCCAAGTCTTGATCTCTCTTTGGAGGTTCAAGACCTGCGCTTGAGTTCAATTACGTTTCCTGCAAAATGAGATGGATGTGAGCTAATGAACTAGATATGTGTTTCTATTGTATACGACAGTAAATCATATGTATGTATATACATATAAGCTATATATATAATTGCACACATAACAGATACACATATATACATATGATTTCTTGCAAAGTTCTCTGCAGCGTACTCATCATTCTAGATAGCCTCTGGTCTCCTTGTCTGACAGAACCTGTTGATGACTGTTGTACCCCGGAGCCATCTCTGCAAAAAGCGAACCAGGTTGAGTACTCACAATTTCCAAGTTCTGCCTTTTTGCAGCTTCCATCTTTGACAGTTTCCTGGTGTTCGTCGACAAACCGGCTCTATCATGCTCGTGGCTCTCCAAGAGCGGTGCCATTGCATATCGTAGTTTCGGATGTGTTTCTGATCCCAAACCGGCCCAGCCTCTCCTTTCCTTGAAAAGCGTTCTTCCCAATGCGGTGGCAACTTTGGCACCTGAATTCTGACCAGGGCCAACAAAAGCTGGAAAAATGCCCCTGAACCGCTTTGATTTAGCATGCTAACAAACTTGAGTGAAGGTGAGAAGGAAACGAGTCTTGCCGCCTGCCATTGGGTCAAGTTCGCGCGAAGGTTGACATAGAATTCATGCCCTTCAGGCCTTCAGAATGTCGGTGCTCCAGTCTGCTTTAAAGTGCGATTCCTTTCAAGTTGCTTGCTTAGTTCCCCGTGGGATATTCCTGCATGTCAATGTTGTTCCTTGGCTTACAGTACTGCATGACTCAATTGGCAAAAGTAAAAGGCTGATTTGATCTTGTCGTGAATGGAAAAGTACAGAAGTCGGCTGACAAAATATGCGCATGCAAGACGCATAAGCACCTTTGACTACATGCTCCACACAACGCTTTAAAAATCACGATTCCAAATGGCAGGATGTCTCCTAGGAAGCTCAAGAGCAAGTGGACAAGACCGGAAACGAGACAAAAAGTTGGTGTTGGGAGTTGTGAATGTAGGACAGTGTAGTGGTGATCTGAGTATCGATTAATCTGAGTATCGATTATGCTAGCATTTCTGATGTGATTGTTGATGCATTGTGATATAGCTGCTGGTCAGCTGCTGGTTATTTATATACTTCATCTTAATTTTGTGTTTGCTGGTACGCCGTGATAATTTGTGTTGTTTGTTGGGTGTTTGTAATCTGAGTGCTGATCATAGGTACTGGATATCAGTGGCGATACAAGTCGTGGTGATGTGAGGGCAGTGCAAGGATCGATACACATGTTGTTGAAGTGACTCAGGTGATTGATACAGGCTGAGAGAGGGTGATATGATGTGATTATGTCGAGTTCAAATAGTTTTTGCGAATGAAGCAGCTTTCTGCACCGTCCGAAGTGTCTGCAACCCCAAGGCGGAAGTTCGCCATACAGCGCACAAACAAAAAAAGCAAGACAAAGACATGCATCTACAACAGTATTCCAACTCGCGTCCATCATGAAAATAAGATCTATCCACAATTTGCAAGTTAAGTACCATGGACGATGGAACTGCTGCAACCTGCCATGGAACCATGCTCTTCTTCGAGTGATGCAACTTTGTAATCCGGGCTCCCCAAACGTTGTTTGCATCTCCCAACCTGCTGGAAGAATCACTTCCTGGCAGTGATTTTGTGCCCATAGAACCGGATGCTTTGGCTCCAGCTCCAAGTCACTCCCACTAGTGACGGACTAGTCAACTACTCATCAGTCTCCTTCATCAGGTTTCTTATCTTTTCTTTTCAAACATTGTTGCCAAAGCTGGCACCCTCCTGGCTATTTTTCGCAGCTTCCAGCGATGCCATGACTGCAGCTCGGAGTTCATCTTCCCTGGGTGCAGCTGGAGAGCACCAACACCCATCTATGCACTTATGGCTGCACCAGCAAAAAGCAGCGAAATCCACATTTCATAAAATCTATAACAAAAGAATAATATATATATATATACATACTCATATATATGACATGTTCAAGTATTTTTTCTTGTTCCGTTGTCGGTCTGTTGATTTTTTGTCATTTCAAGTACTGCGGCACATGTCTCCAAGTTTGCTGCCCTGAGGTGTCTTCCTCCTTGCTGCCACCACCAGGTATACCCGCCTGAAATTCAGTTTTTGGACCCTCCTAAGAAACCTGCTCGGCCGATGTTGCACATAATGTGTTATAACAAAACAACAAAGAACACGTGCAAAACCCTTGCCATCTCAGCAGCGCATTGCCGGGTGTCAGTCATGATGCATCTGTCTGGGTATGCATTTATATATTTGGCAATGTGCACATGGCTAAATGTGCCTGTATACAAAAAAACGTTGCAGGATTCCAAACGTATGACCTGCCCAAGCTAAACTTTAGGCCCACTTTAGGCAATTAGAATGACATTTGTAAAGGAATATCCCGACTCAGCTCAGCGAAATCAGAGCTTGGCAGAGCTAGGAGCTGGGCTAAAGAAGCACCAGGCTCTGGAGCACCATGCTGTCCTTCATGGTGCAAGGGTAAGCGACGGCTGGCTGGCACCTCAGGCAGCCGCTGACCGGAAAAGCATTGAAAGAGTTTGGTGACTCTCAAATCTGAAATCCTCGTGAACAAACTCCATGATTCATGATTGACTATACTCGCGGCGCAGGAGTCAGAAAACGCATAGGAACCACATAACATGTCTGTGAATATGATTGGCACTTTCGGAATTTGGAACACCTAACATATGCGTGTTCCCAAACCACGACACCTTGAAGCTGTTATAGTATTGGTGTACATATATATATATATATAGGCTCTGCATGCTGTGCAAACTGTATCCAAGTGGCGTGTTCTCTGGAAATAGGTATTGGCTCGTATGTTGAAACTATATGCGCAGCCAATAGGACATGGAAGGAAACCTTGACTGTGTGATCCAGGTGCCACCACACGAGATTTAGACTTTCGGGCCGAGGTCAAGCTTCATTTCAAGTGCGAAGAGGTAGTGTTTTCCTTGTCTTTCAGGTACCTTCGGTGCCTTCTTGTGGAGGATGAAGCAGGATGAAGGCCAAATTCGCTTAAGTGTGATATAAGTTCGCTCTCTTTCGGGGAGGAATTCGATTTTTATTTGGTGAGTTTTTGCTGGCTGAGCTTGGGCAAGAGTTAAATTCAAGGAACACATCCACAAGGTGGCTTGATATCAAATTCACCTTCATTACAGCTATATAATGAATATATAGTTTAAGTTCGAGTTTAAGTGCATTGGATGATATCCCAGTGCTTCAAATTACGGACTAGGGAGGTTAGAAACACTCCATTGCCAGTGTCGCAAAAATGCGGTCCTTGGCCACATGAACTTTTTTTGAAGCTATGACATGTGGACGCTACTAGGAGCAAAGGGCATCGCTACTAGGAGCAAGGACGCTGTAGAGTGGCTATGGAAGCACTCTTTCTTCGAGTTCGTGAAGGAATTGACTGGAGTGGTACAAAAAGGCATCTATGAGAGGAGATGCTGCTTGCCCACCCAAAAAGTGCTGGTCAAGAAGGTCGGACAGTACTAGAGCAATATCCCAAGCAATCAAGTCTCCATTCATGTTCAGTCTTCTTCCGATCTGACTCTCAATTAAGATTCGACTTCTCCGTGGCAAATTCTCTGAGCATGTTTTACTCTGAGCATTAGTGGCACCCCTTTTGAGTTGTTGATTATTTTGTCCATTGGGATCTGGAAAGAGTTGGTAGGTGGAAGGCGGGCAAAAGGGATTGGAGTAAACTGAGGTCAAAAACACAAAAAAACAAGAAACTACTATATACTAAAACTCAAAATTGGACTCTGGAACTTGAGAGGTACAGTAGAGCTACTCAGTAGAGGTTTGGACGAGGCATTGAGAGCAAACAGGTGGGGGAGCCATTTATACAAGAGAACACTGCTTAAACAAAACCACTTGCATTGAAACATGTTGAAACACAACAAAAACATTCACAAAAGCAGCATTGCACCCGATTCATGGTTGCATGAACAAGACCGCTCCACTGCCTCCTGATCCTGGAATGCTTCAACGGCTGCCTTGTCTTGCCAGGCCTGGGACGTGGATGCATAGTATTGCCAGAGTCAACATGACAAAGTCAAAACAAGGACGAAGCAAAGGCATGACGAACTGGACGCCATGAATCAAATCCACTCCCACATCGATTGCTCGAGCTTCCGCGCAGCTTTCCGTCCTTCCACTGCAGCTAGACCTTGGTTTGTCCAGCATGCATTACAAAGCGTGATTTTGTGCAAGGTCTTTGAAACGAGTTTGTGCTGTGGCAAGACTTGAATATCGGTTTGCCGAAACTGTTCTGGTAGCTGCTGGCTGTTCTTCGTCTTGCTCACAAGCTTCTGGATGCTGGGGAAGTGGAAACGAGCATGAACTTTCTGGGTCGGGGGCCTGTAGCTGAAAACCTGACCTTACCTCGAGAACAATCTACAGTCAATATTGGGTTCACAAATGTTCACAGTACCTGGACTTCTACTTCTACTTGTAATTGTATATCTTGCAATTGTACCAATCTCTTAAGGTAGGTCTTGACACCATGTAGAAGGCTATTACTGAATCGGATTGTCGGATTCAGTGCCACAAAGCTGTCGCATTGTTGCTTTTGCACAGCAGCTGAAGAGCGGCAGGCTGTGCGGTGATACTGATAGGATCTGATAGGGTACCTGTTATCAAGCGAGTGGAGGTTCTGGTGGTTGCCATGGTGTTGACTATGCATCATCTCCATGGTGGTGTTGTTGTGGTTGCCGCTATGGTAAAGGTGGTGGTTGTGGTGGTTTATATACTTAGTTGTTGTAGCGCAGGTTCTAGTTGTGGCTGTGGTCGTTGTTCGTGCTCGTGCTGCTCGTGCTGCTCGTGCTGCTGCTGTTGTTGTAGTCTTCAGTCGTTGGCTGTTGTCCTTCCTGTCATTGTTGTCGTCGCTCTTCTAAAGCGCTTTCCCTGTTTTTTGTTGGTGGGTAGAAATAAGGAAAAACTGGAAAAACTGTTTCGCACGTTGGTTGTTGGAAACGAAGTCTCGGTGATTTCTGGACGACACCTGGGCCAAGTCACTTCGTTGCTCCTTCACGTACTGGATTTTTTCGCGCTGGTCCTGTGGGGGGGGAAAGGAGGCCCAGTGCTTCTCTGTTTTCTCAAGTGTATGTGCAAACCCCTCAACACCATAGGTCTCCCATCGTTAGCCTCACCCGTGCACAAATGTCATCCGCTGTGGGCTTGTGCAGCTTGCGGCAATTGCAAACCACCCCCTCGCTGAGTCACTATTGATTTGATTGGGCAGTGGGCATAGATCTATTTCGAGGCTCGCTGAACACATGAAGAAGCTGACAGTATCTACTAGCTATCTTCATTAGCTTGGAATTCAACTCAGTTTCAACCAAATACTTCAGTGGCCTAAACTCAGAAAATGTATAATTTGACACCACCTGAAACTAATTTCCAGCCCTGTATCAGATCATTGTGCATAGGCGTGCTTGGCAGAGGTGCTCAGCTTGACGACAGTGAAGAGGATTGCACTATATCGCAAGTGCTCGCAAGCACAACTCAGAAAGGCAATGCCTCAAACATTTGGTTGTGCGATGGATTGAACATATCATGTTCACCCGTCCTTATCATTCATGGAATCCACGAACCTGTCCCACGAATGTGTGTCCGGAAATGGCAAAAGTGCAGCAATTGAACAAATCAAGTGCTAGAACAAGTATAGGACGTGGGTCTAGAAGTCAATGCAGGCTCTTGGAAAAGTGACTGGTACAGGATAAGCTGAGTTGGATGAGGAGAGCCGTAAGGTCCTGGTAGTGTGCGCTGAGATTAGCCATGGCAAGGTCTAACTTGCAGGAACACGCAGTGCGACAAGTTTACGCAGTTTTAAAACAAGTCAAGTGGTTGTAATGCTGAACTGCTCCCACACCTCTTTATGAGAACTCGTTTTTGAGAATTTCAGAGCTCTCAACTCAACTGCCTCTCGTAGGTGACGTCACGATCTCCAGAACGCCTCTGGTCCGCCCAAATGCCAAATGCAAAATGCTGAAAGTTTCCACTAGCTGTCAATACCTGTAAAAACCGTAGGTATATGTATTTATATAGTTGCCTGAGAAGGGAGGCGACGAAAGCCAGCCTCCGTAAGAAGATATCATTGTGGTCATGGGGTGAATTCGCACTGGAACTCCAGCCTAGCCTATCGGCTGGCTTTCGTGATATACTATGTCTATTATTGCGTAGATTATATGTTTGTATATATAGGGTTCAATAGGTTGAGGCCCGCGCATTTTCATCAGCTCTCTGACCTGCGCAACCGCAAAGTTTTCGCAAACATACATGCAAAAAAGGCACCAAAGCAATAGCCTCGACTGAGTAGAAGAGTTCAGACCCCCTGAGAGCTTTGATGGCACAGAAGAGGGCAATCAAGCGTTCAATCCTGAGAGTGGCGATGAAAAAAACATATTCTTCCAAACTGTCTAGTCTTGCCCAATGGGAGAGTGCAGGCTTCTAGTGGGGCCTGCAACTTCTGATCGTGGATGAAAATAGTTAACGGCTTTGAACAAAATTGGATCCCAGTCATGTCGGCAGCTCTCTTCCAAGGCTTCCGGCCACAGCATCTTGGTCTGAAACCAAAAGTCATTGATCAATGGATTCCATGTGATCGGCTCCTGACAAAGACCACAGTTGTGATCAAAGCCACGATAAAGCCAACCAAAAGAACACATCATAGCTCGTTGGCTTCATGACCTGGAGGAAATTTTGTATCTACAAGTAGGCCTGGTTGAAGGCTGCACTTTTGACCCAATCTTGATGCACCGCTCGTTTTGCCCAGGTAGCGAGAGCTATCGTTACTTCAAGTAGTGCTGCTGCAGGGTGCCGCTCCACACGTGACCTGTGTGCGTGGGTGCTGGTGCCACTGCAGGGTGCCTCTGCCAAATGCATATGGCCGCCTGCATTCTGGTGGGTGCGTCCAGGGTGCTGCGAGGGGTCTATGGCCGTGGCTCTTTCGGGCCTGGGTGCTGGTGCCAAACGTTTAGGCAGTGTGCGCTTTGGAGCCTGCCTGCTCGCGCCTCTGCCATGGTGCTGCCCACGAATATCTTTTGCTATCTGGGGTCTATGCTGGCGTAATTTTACAAGATCTTTCAGCTTCAAGTTTTACGATATACTGTCCAAATAAACTGCATGAGTTCTAGAGCCCCGCTCCGCTGGAGGTAATCGTCCACGACGCAGACCTTGCTTGGATGCGCAAAGCAAAGGACATCCCCAACAGATTGGATAGAACTGCTTGTCACACATCTTTACAGTAGGTGAGTTTGATCTGTTGGAGTGCTCAGGAATCTGCGTTCACGCCACTTCCGCTCCCACGGCAAGTAGAGGAGCTTCATTAGCTGCTTTTCGGATGGCCAGAACGTCCTCAAACGTTCATATTTGGATATGTGTGTGTATCACCGTATCACCCATACAGGCCCACACACACACACATTTCAAACATTGGTCATGCAGAATCACGCGGCATAAACAGGTTCAAGAAGTCACAAGGTCAACTGAGGCATCAAGCACATCAGCTTTATAGGCCCAGACCAACAAAATGGTCCAACCTCAGGTTACAAATATTGTGTTCAATTGTGGATGAGCTGACAAAGCTAACATCAATTGGCTGGTGGGCTTTGTAAACTCGAACTCCTGGACTGGATATGCTGCAGTCCTACTGAGGGCCATGCGGATCATAAAGCAAAACAGCGTGTAGGAGATCTGCACCGGCGACAATCTCTCATGGTGTGGAGGGCATACTAGTAAGAAAACGGCTCGCAGGCCAAATGCAGTGCATTTTAAAGGTCAGCTTATAGCTTATTGTAGAAGAGCACCAAATGATACAAAATAGTAGCTGATGGTACCTGCTTCTATTTGAGCCTTGGATTCTAGTTGCAGAACTTCTGCGAATTTGGTTTTGCAAGATTCGTGGGCGATCAAATCTTCATTTCGATGGTACAAATTTGAGTCAAGAAACTCTTGAACATGGTGCCATGGGTGCCACATCTTTCCTGACAACCTACTGTCAAAGTCCACACCAAAATAGCATCGTGCCGAAACAACTTTCAAATCTCCTAACTCTATGAGTCGAGGACTCAACTTTGGAACCTCAAAGTGGACAACTTGGCATCTCAACGAACTAGGCGCGGCACGATATTGTGCACGTTCCTAGCAAAGAATTTAGGGTTTTCAGAACTCAACCACTGAATCTCTGAATCATGATAATCTGTCAACTTTGTTTACTGAATCAATATAGGACAACTGCTCATTGATCAGCCCTGCAGGCCTGTTCCGCGCAGGAGCGGCCTGGACTATGTTGACCGGGCGAGGCCTTAATCCCACGCCGCCAATACATTGGGAAATCTATAACGTTTGACCGACATCCAAGTTGCACTTACAATTATGCTACAAGGATTCAATGCATTCACCAAGACAACACTGCAGTTTCTAGCTTCTCCAGACCTGTTGCCTTGTGTGTGCTTGGACAATGATGGCTGTATGTAGCCGGCACAAGCTCGACCGCCATGACAGAGCCTGGAGACATCACGACAACTACAGCTGGGCAAGATTGAGAAACTCGCGCAGTCGTCCCCCACACTGAAAGGATGGGCTTCTGTGGAAGTGTGTGCCCAGAGGTCCACAAACTGTGTGGTTTGCCCCATCATCTCAATATGTCCATTCCACTTTTTGACGGTCTAGCAGCCTGGCCTTGGCTACTAGGAAGCCGATCGCACTGTGCTGTTACAATGTCCTGCAACACCATCACAGCTGACAATAGCTCGTTGCTGCATACCATCACTCACCATCACCACTCGCAAGCGAACAAGTGCCAAAGGCCTTGTGGCTGTAAGATGACCAAGGATCTGAACACATGGAATTGTGTCTCAATGACATGAAGCTTTGGCTGAATTGCAGTCCTCCTGTGTTCGACTCCAGGAAGTTTTGCACCCATGGATAGTCCATCTTCGCATGCGCTCTCCCTGAACTATACTGGAAAGAAAACCCGCTGCTCGAAGTTGTGTTTACCATGGCAAGCTTTGCATTCAGTCAGCTTTGCGCAGGCTTTGAGCAAACTATCACTTCCGGAGCTTGGAGTACAGCTTGAACAAAGAAAACAAGCGCCATACAACAAAGAAAACAAAACTGCTGGCCTGCGCGGTGATATCCTCTCTGTCTTCCCACCAAGCCACTCGGTACCTCAGTGCTTAACCCATGATGAAATATGTCGCGCCTTGCCTTCAATTGATTGACCCTTAGCAGCCTTAGCAATGTGCTAGCGGAGCCCGAGATGGAACATCATCCTGTGAGGTACTAGGTATGTTGTAATAAGCTTTGTGTCAGGGCTGCTAGTGATCTCTCATGTCATAAAGAAGGCTGCTTTCAACGCACAACAACGTGGAACCCTGGGTTACTCCCAGCGTGCCAACTCACTAATGTGCAGTGACCCTATCAGGGTGCAAAACCTCCAGAATCTGACAAGAACTGAGAACATGGATCAAAGACGGAGCACCTTGTGTGCAGGTATTTGGGTGGGACCTATGGAAAAACATGCACTCTGAATGAAACATTCCTTCCACGGGAATTAGCATGATTCACCTGTTATGGCACTTCGACATCTTGGACTCGCTTTAGCGGACAATCAAACGAGCTTGTTGCCAAGATGCGGAGTCTTGTCACCATACCCCCAGCGGCGGTCACGCACTACATCCGGGGAGAGGCGGAAGGTGAGCTGAATCTGGAGCAAGTAGCAAGCCAAACACAAGTGTCATCAACCTTACAAAACTGCACCCTTAACCGTTCTTGAAGTATGGACAGGTCGTAAAAGGGAGCTCTACTTCTGCAAACTTTCCCGCCGATGCAGTCCCAGTTCCCACTTGGCCTTGCCGGAGGCACCCTGGCACAAAGGCTAAGTGCAGCGACCGAACTTATATAGCCGTTTAGATGAATCGGTGTGCCAACATGACTTCTGTCAACAAGGTTTGACAGCGACCCGATACAGTGCAACCAGCAAACCACAAACTCTGGCCAAGTGGAACTTGTTACGCAGCGAACAAAACCTTTTATGGAGGACCTTTTCGGTGAAGAGCAAGGCTTCAATGTTCAGCAGTCAGACTGGTCTGCTTGGGTTGTGGATTTAAAGCAGTAGACGGTATAACTCAAGAAGACAAATTGCAATTGGTGCCATAGATATCCATCATGGATACTCTGGACATGGCTCGGCCTGAAGAACGACAGGTTGACCACAGGAGCGCATTTGGACAGTGTACCTGTTCTGTCGACACCTCTCTTCACAGCTCTCGCAAAGAACCAACGCAGGCGCACGGCACTGTGACATTGGCATTCATTCCGATCAAGGAGCCGGTGGCGTAGAGGAACGGGCTGATCGGCCACGAGATGGTCGTCATCTTGGCGTTGATTGGGCTTGAAGACGAAGGGAGGGAGCGAGTGAGGGAGGGGACACCCTGATGCGTAAGAATGACCCTGCATACAAAGCACTAAGTGAGTCTATATAAGTCCCTTCTTTTGTGCGTGCAAGCAGGTGTTGACAATGCTTTTCAAACATGAAAAAGAATGAGTGGGAGCCGGACAGTGATCGTTTGCAAGAAGTCCTCTTGTGCCTCTTGGCACTGCTTGGCCTTGGCCAATCCACCTATGAGTGCGCAATACTACATACATTCTGCATTCCTGACATCAATGTGGCCGTTAAACTCAGAAAAAAGACATGCCTCCATCTAAAAGCACAAGTAGCGGTCACTGTCAATGCAAAGCACTGGAAAGAAAGAACCATTCTTCTCTGGCTGTACTTGTACATTTTAAGTAAATGACTTTTAATATCTTTTAATAGGATGCACAGATTCGATATGCATGTGAACATACAAACACATACAAGCGATCTCAAGCCATGCGGTAGCAAAATAGGATCTACAAACACTCTGGGTGGATCTCAAATGTTTGCAAGCAGTTTCAACCCGAGGACTTGACAGCCTCGTTGAAGAGAATATCTGCATCCCCTGCCCACGCTATGCCATCAGCTCCAGGTGGTCCCAAACCTGCGATGGACAAACAACTCTGATTGGAATGAGTATATAATACTTATTTTTTACGTGAGCAAAGTAATTGGAGTATAATAGAGAATATAACTTAGAGACTCAACACTTTGAAATGCAGCGTTCTCTTCGACAAAAGGCGGTGGCTCCATGTTGAAACTTGACTGCTGGTCAACACTTGGTCTGGCCCCATCGATGACAGTACCACAATAATCTCAGTGCACGTCTCAGCCAACGATCTGATCTAGATTCAGTGTTCTCAGTACGATGAAAGGAAAACGGATGGAACAATTCTTGTGAACAAGACGCTTCGTTCTTCCCTGCGTGCATTGTGTTCAAATGAGTATGAACAGACTGCCAAAGTGCCTGCAATGTTGATTTGGGGGTAGATCCAACCTTGACAATTCGCGCTGCCCCCCCCGACGACCCAAACTGCAACTTCCAGACTTTTGAGCTCTGCGCTTGCTGCGCTGGCTCTTCGGAACCCTCTTAGAAACCGGAAGCTTGCAGGCATTCAATATCTTTCAACTTATAGGTTCAGCACGTCTCAGCAGGCTTTTCTGGAGCAAAAAGAACTCCAAAGGACAACACATCAAAAGAAAACTTGTAAGGCTCGGCAAAGAAACTGTGCCGGATGTTTTGCGGTTGGAATTGATCCTACCGACACTTCGATCGAGGGCTTCACGCAGCATGCTCTGGTAGTCCGGTTGTGTTTGAACCTGTGCGGTCCATTGATCTTTTTGCATCAGGTGATCTCAACTGTTTAAAGTTTGAAGAGGCTTCCACAGGACCCCTCTGAGGGGCGAACACCGTCCTCTATGATGTCAATTAGTTTCTTCTTGATGATGGTGACCACAAGATCTCCATCTGTTGGTGACGAATGCATCAAGGAGTCAAAATAGATTTTAGTCCACAAATCTGCATCTTCTTGTTGATGCTGGGGGAAAGATTGTCTCAACACCTTGTCTGCAAGCTCCCAACCACAAGCAAAGCTTTCAGTATGGCGTGCTGGCTTTCTCTCTCGTTGGCTTGCTGGTGTGCACATCAGTATCACAGTTAGTGCTATGTGCCGCATCGTTCACAGCGCCGCCTACTACATTCATGAACTCTCCTTTCGGCATCGCCTTAGCCAGAACAGCATCTTGGAATCTTCTCTGCACAGGCAAATTCTATCATGGGATGTCATGGGTCACAACCCCATGGCAACTTTTGTCTTTTCTCAGCGGATGGCCAAAGCAGGCATATGACTTCTCACAAATCTCCCACTCCCTGATCTGCTAGGTTCCAGGCTTGTTTAATTGCAGTGGGTGGGCCACCAGGATCTGCAATCGCTGCCATAACCTGTGTCAAATTTTGATTCAAAAGTCCTTCATCCGCAAAGACTCAACTCAAAGGCAAAGCGTATTCAGCTTCTATCACTCTTGGAGGCTCGGTGCCCACGCATCTCCAAGAGCCACAGCTGTGCGAATGATCTCAGAACTGAGCCGGGCCTACAAAGCAAAGTTCAAACATGTTGGGCAACCCCTTGCACATGACACGGATTCACATACGCTGACGTTCACGTCTTGGGCTTTTGCTTGTTTCAGGGCTCTGTGACACTCTTGTCTAGTTTATCGATGTTTTTCGTCTTGCTTCCGGGGCAGCAATCAAGGCCAATTCATCTATATAAACATATCTTAATTATTGGAGCAACATCAACATCACAATGTGTTGAGAGGTCGTGTGAGGATATCATCTATCAATCGATAGGAGTTCCCAGTGACACTACTCGGAAGAAATGATAAACCATGTACATGCAATCTCAACTGTTCAAAGCTCGCATCAATCGCCTGCACATTCTCTGAGATGTTCAGACTCAAGACCCCTTCCCGTGGCTTGTCGATCGGCCTGTCAGCCAAACTGCTTGGTGCTTTTGGGTCCGCACGAGTCTTGTGCAACTAACATCAAGCTCCATCAAACTCACCAATTCACCTCGTCACCTTGTGTTCTGTCCTGTCTACCGACAACTGGCACTAACACATTTGCGTGATTTTCTCACTGTCAGCCTAGTGCTGGCGAGCAAGTAGGACAGGGTCTTGACCAAGTCCTTGAAGCACAGCATAGCGCAGCATTCTGGTCCCAAAAAAGCTCCGGAACACCACGCATGTGTGCTGATGGGTTTAAGCCAGTTGATCGTTTTCATCTCTGGCTACTCTGTACCTTTGAAGGTTAGGTCAGTGGGGTTCAAGGAGACTGCAAACAGACTGAATGTACATTGAATTTTGGGCACCAGGAGGCAGTAGCCTCACATGGACCATGGTGGCAACTCCACTTAGGCAAATGCTTGTGGAGCGTTGCCAGCTTTCCTGATTGCAGTAGACAAAAAGTAGACATCAGGCACAAGCAATGTCAAATCTTCAAGGTAGACGTGCCGTGGGTGCATTGATCCTCAATTCAAAACACCTTTTACAGAAATATATTATACAAAGCACCTGAACCAATAAAAACCACAACAAGTCAGTACAGATTGAACCACACAATAAGCCCTTTTGCGATTGCAAAGGCTTACTTCTGGGCCTGATGTCTCCTCGTGCCCCACGCACGCGCTCCACAAGCCCTAGCGAAAACAGTGCACTTGAACATTACACTTCTACAATGAGTCTGCTGTGTTGTTTGCTTTGTTCGAGGGAGGCGAGGGAGGCGCAAAGCCCAGCAAATCTGATTTCCTTCAAAGACACAACAAACTGAGCCTGAAGTCAAAGTCCCGAGGAACACGAAAAGCTCTGGATCACCGATGGGCGCGAGATTCGCTGACTGAGGCAAATGGTGGAAGTTCTACTGTAAGTCTGTGAAAGCTTGAAACAGATTTTGCACATGTCCAAAACAATGAAGTGCACACCAACAAACTACTTGCCTACCTACCTGGTTCGTATTCACATGTCTTGAAAGTGAGAACAACTTCTCAATACCTTGTCAATTTGCAAAAACACAATTATATAATTCACGAGAACTTATCTAGGTGTCTGACCAAGTGTGCCAGTGCACCCGCAACTACCTGGACTAGGTTCACGCAAACAGGGTGATATGGGAACCCCAATTCTGGACAAAACACAACTGGAAATTTGTTTGCAAGGCGTGAGACTCACAAGATATTCAACGATCAGAGCTACCCGGTACCCTAATCCATCACATCAACGCAACTCAAAGCAGTGCCTTGCTGCCTTGTGGATTCTTGCAATAACTTGTTGACCCTTGTATATAGCACTGCAAAATATCTACCATGCCTCCAACTATGTCTGCCTGGAGGTCTTTCGTATTGGATTGGCAGAAAGTGTGAGGTGGTCTTAAAACGAAGTTGGACCGCTCACCAGTTTTTGTTTCAGAGCCAAGGATCCGTGCAATTGGACTCTCATCAAACCCAACAAATCTGTACATGACAAACTCCGAAGTCCTATGCTCCACCAACACGACAATTGTTGATCCTTGTCGCAGCCTCCATGTGAAGCGGTGTAGACAGGTTTGAGGTGGTGTCCTTCCAATACTGCTCCTGCAGCAACCAATGCATTGACTGTGCTGAAATGAATTGAACTGCTTCACAACTACCCAAAGTAGAGGGATTAAGGATCCAGTGGAAAGCAAACCTCAATACTGTCTCCTGAAGCCTGCGAGTGTCAGCCCCCAGTGAATCAGGCTCCAACGCGTAAATGATATCGTACAACACCTTCGGGCTCACAAAGGAGGGAGCTGGTCCCACATTGCGCACAGAGCAAGCTACAGCACAGTACACCCTCTTCAGGCATTGCCGTACCAGTACAGACGAGCTAATTGAACCTGGCACACAACCTTACAGGGGAACAGGTTGTCACCTCCTTGAAACAGGACAGCAACCCTGGCAAAACTACAAATCCGCAAGACATGCTGAGAAGGACACCCCCATAATGTCTCGAAGGTACGCGATGACCTGCACAAAAACAATCTCAGAAAGTGACATGACAGGTTTGGCGATGGACAGCAAACATATATATATATATATATAATATATAGATCACGATATGCTATGCAAAGTGCACAATTATGTGCCTCACTTCGTGTCTCTCGCGAGACAATCGGTGCTCCATAGATTGGCTGGGACAAATTAGGCATTGGCCTGAGATCATGATCGATACAAGACTTACAAAGCAAGTTACAAGAAGGCAAATTTATGCGACAATCGTTCGATTTGAGTGTCATGAACAGTCATCTGTTCCACTTTGGAGGGAAAGTACACTTCAGTGCCCGACAATCCACTGGCTGGATTCCATTCTACCATGGACCTGCAACGAAGTTGAACGCCTAAAGTCCGTTTCAAACACTCTGCTAAAATCCTCAGAATTGTTCGACTTGGAAGTGGAAAAATGGGACTGCATTCAGTTAAGGCAGCGAGTGCATGCAAGTTTCCAACTTGAAACAGCGGTCGCCTGAAATCGTAATCGTACATGTCTGGTAGAGCAAAAACTGCTGCGCAAACCTCAAGTGACTCGGAGTGGAAACCGGGTAAAGGATAAAAAAAGGAAATCAAACAAGTATATTCAACGGGGATCAAAAACATATTCTAGCCCCACAGACAGGCGCGGCCAAGACAAGGGCAAGAGGAGGACAATCTGCAAATGCGATGGGCGAGCCTTTACATATATAGTTAGTTTTCGTCACAGGCGCAGTGCAGTGTGCAGATTTCGTGGTGCTGGAGGGTTGGGGGGGAGGGCGCAGCCCAAAGCGAACCAAACGCTAAAACACAGCACCACAAAAGAAATCACTAGAAACTATGTACCCTATCGCCCTTTCAGTGAAGGGCATCTAAAAGTGCACAAAAGGACCTAAGGCGACCTAAGGCAACCGAAGCCAAAAGCATTGTACGTTTGCAGGAAAACTGCGGCCAATAAGCTACAAGAGAAACGACCAAAGGCATCAACAAGCATCAGTGAAAGAACAAGGAGAAAACCATAGGAAACCCGCAAACCAGAGGACCAGGAGGGCAAAGGACCTGGAGACCAGGACCAAAGGACCAGGGGGGCCAAAGGGCCTGTGGACCAGAGGACCAAGGGACCAAAGGACCAAAAGACCACCAGCGGACCAAAGGACCAGAGGACCCGCAGACCACAGGGCCAGGAGAGCAGCAGAAGAGGCCTATCAAGGAATATTGTATTTTAAAAAAATATGTTTATGTGTTTTTGATCCTTTATTTTTGGTTGATAATATTTTTCTTTTTGATGCTCTTTTACTTTTTTGTTGATCTAGATGCCGTGGAAACCCATGGCCACCAGACCCATCACGCAAACATTGGCGCATGTCTTGTTTAGAAGGATTCTGTAGAGACTTGGCAGTCTGCCTTAGAATTACATCCAGTATTGGTAGAAAAAGATTGTATCACCATCGCTGCGCCGCTCATAGCTTGATCGGTTCACTGCTTGGGGGCCAGGCCGGCACAACTGACACCGAGCCACGGTTGAAAGCTCGGACCTAGCACACTCAAACCGTTTTGCTACAGGAAAAGCAACTTGATGTTGCACAGATTCACAACGGTTTCACTTTCACACCTGAAGGATCGCCTGTCTTGATCGGCGCATATAGGCCTGCATCGCACTAACCCAAACTCGTGCATAGCAAGAACACCAGGAATAGTTTTGCATGGCATATTGCAGCATATTGCATTTCCCCGGGCAACCCGTTTTCTACAGAAGCTTTTCTAGTACTCGTGCATTTCTATTTCGCCTTACTCGAAAAGGCTTGGTGCCTCCAGGTGCGTGACTCGGTCGTAGCTTGTGATTACTCTTTCCACATAGGCCTTGCTGGATTCGGCTGGGCATTTTTGAGGATTGTTACCAAATACAGAAAGTGTGAAGTTTTGAGGTGATTTCTTGTCATTACATATCTTTACCCAAGTTCACTGTTCACTTGTCAAACTCAAAAACTTATGGAAACTGTTTGACTCGGAGTTGCCAGCAAGTTGATGTGGATCTTTTGTTTTCTTGCTCGAACAGAAATGGCTTTCCCTCCAACACATGTCAACAAAAACAGGTGGCCTCACTGGATGGAACACATGTCGCACCAGTTTGGGGAACAAGTTGGAACGCTGAAGCTGAATAACGACCCATTCCAACAATATTACCCGATATCATGGAGCTACATGTTTTCCATGTGACGGACGGAGGCCGTGAATACTCACAAACCCAACATCATAGACTCTAAGCTCGTATATTATACCATATATGATCTGTTAAGGATGAATTCGATTAAACATACCGATTGCAAGCAACATCAAGCAAACAAACTGCTCAATGAGGTGAACCCAAACACAACAACTCCGACCGCGTCAATGACTGTCTGATGACAGCTCAAGCGCATTGCCATCTCAGTCCGGGGCTGGATGAGACCACGCGACCATGTACTTCTTAGCCTGGATCAGCTGTTTTTTCTCGAGCTGTTGGGATTCCCTGACTATATACATACCACAAAAAGTATCTTATAACGGAAACAACCAATACAAAAATCATCAAAAGTCTGTGTTGAGTTGCTGCGTGAGCCGCAGAATATTTCACTCTCAGTCCAAAGTGGCACCAATCGACGAACTCTTCGTCCCTTCTCCTTCATATACTCTGGCAAAACGTTCGAACATTTCCTCTTCTTTTTGTCCCAATAGTGCCTCGAGTCCGGTAGCGTCTCTCGCGCGACCTGGAAGGGATATATTCATCAGTTCTCGCACACAATTTTTTCTACTGCAGTTCTCTTCGTGGAACCCAGTCTGCTACCACCATGTTAGCTGGACCGGGGGGGTTTGCCCGGCAGATCATCCATATTGCCCCCAGGTACTCCTCCGAAGTCACCCGCATTTTCCCCCCAACAGTGCCATGGTTTTGTGGGGCATGGAGGGATGGCCTGGAGGGCAATAACAACCTTCTTTGCTTCAAGATAGGGGATCTGCGGAATCTGCCGGGCACCGTCCCCCCCGACATGATGGACAGGAAACACAGCGCCTTCGAAGACGTACATGCCTTCCTTAAGTGGCCTTGGCAATCATCGAGTAGAAGACCACAATATAAGTGGGAGGTTCCCCTAGTAGCGTCCTTGCTAGTAGTGATGCCCTTTGCCTTTGCTCCTAGTAGCGTCCCTGTTACTAGTAGTAAGGCCAGGAGCGTCCGATCCCTCCTGCAAAGGGGCGGTCGCAAAGACGTGAAATCTATTTGCCCAAGTTCGCTGCAGCGCTAGAGTTGGTGATTGCGACCAATCCTCGGTATCTGTGGCATGTTTTTCAGCAGAGGGCAATTCAATGTCCATTGAGTCTTGACACAATTCAAGCCCCCCTGCAGACAGTGGCACCATAGCATTCTCCGGCACCAGGGCAGACCTGTAAGGAAGGATTCTGAAACTAGCGCCTTGGCCCAAGGCCCCCCAAAGCCAATTAAGGTTATGGCAACCTGTGGTCCGTCAAAATGTCGGTCTCAAAGTTGCCAAGCTCTGCCTCGGTTTTGGTGAAGAAGGCAGAGTCGCAGAGCTCAGGCTGCCCGTAGATGAACAAGTCTCTCGTTTGGTGTCGCCCTGTCGCTTCTCCAAGATACCATGAAGTCTGATCGCTTCTCCTCTGGCACCTGTCGACACTCTCAGATGTCCCGCGTTCCCAGTATCTCACAAGGACTTCATCTCGACACCTGCCCGTTGTGGCTCTCAATTATTCATCCCGTACTATTGCGTACCAGCTTGTCTTTCTGATCCCAGTCTGTGCAGACCTCGCCATAGTAGAATGTGTACTCCAGCGGTGGCATCTGGCAAAAGTTCAAAAGCAACATAACACGCAAACTGGTTCTGCTGTGAAATTGTTCTAAGTAAACATTCGCAAGCAAGCCCTCGAGCCCAAAGGCAATCTGCATCGAAAAAAATCCACTGAATCGAGCGAGCCACATCTGTTGCCCAAGCTTGCTGAAGTCGGAACACATCCTTGGCCCCAAGAGCGCTGCGTGTTCACAGAAACATGGGGAACGCAGCCTAAAGGTTGCAGCAAAGTAGCAAGCATGTTTGGCAAGAATGTGATGAAATGAGCAAACATGTTTGTATGTCCACGTATCTCAGCTTAGAGCAGACATCGCGATGCCGATACGCCCAACAGGATCCAGCCTTCAAACACTCACAAACATGGAAAAGTTGCTCTGATTTCCCGAAGGGAATAGGACAGTTCAGAATCAGCTGCAAGAAAGTACTCAAACGAAGGGGCCAAACATTACAGCATTGTGCGGGCTTAGCAAGAATGTTCTAAAGAACTTCGATTTGGCTTGGCCATACTCTTTCCTCATCAAACGTGCATCTCGATGGCATAACGACCTCTCCAGGCGCCCACACACATCCAAAGTGCCAGCAAATGGCCCCCAATGCATGCCAAAGGGTTCGGTGTCGACTTGCAGGACTGCAATGGATTCCCTCAGGATGAAGAGCATGACTATGCATGAAGCAAATGCAAACACAAATGGGCATGTAACATTGAGCTTCCGAACACATCTGTGGTTGGCTGCACACCCAAGTCTCTCAATGGCCCCTGGTTCAAAAGCCAAGCACTGAACAAGCTCTACACTCCATCTCGCACTCTCTCCAGCCTCTGAACTGTGGCCTGCTTTCAAAAGCTCATCCTTGCGGAGAAAAACACGCGATGTTTCATAGGGTTTGGGGTAGTTTAGGAACTGTATATTTTTGCGGGCTGTTGCTATCAAGACTTGCTGGGGTGCTTCATACCGGATTCAAAATGATTCAAAACAAATGATATGCTCATATTCCTACCAACAGCCTTGACTAATCCAAGTCGGGCAGTCCTTGTACTCACTTAGCTTGAACGATTCTTTCGGCCTCGGCCGATGTTTTCATGGTTGGCTGTTGGCCGGATGGCCCTAGGTTTCTTTCCAGAGCGAGCCTTCAGGCTACAAAGTGCCAAGAAGCTGCTTTCTTCAGTTTCCACTTACGTCTACGAAGTTGATTTGCTCAAAGATGCAGTCAGCTGCAAGTGTTTTTGCAGAGTAGAAACTCCAATTGAGCTGATGTCTGTCTTCGCTCTCTGTGGTGCCAAACAAGGAGGATGTCAAAAGCCTGGAGTCAGAAAGCTCTGAAGAACTTACCAGTTGAATGTGTTTCTTGCTTTTTCCCATGGCGGATGCTACACTGCCTGTAGGAATAAACAAAGCCCGCTTGCAGGTCAGCTCGATCCGCTGAGGTGTATATCCAGAGCCTCAATGAAGTGTAAAAGTACTTGTGGCGCTTGGAGACCGTAAGCTCCACTAAGCCAGTGTCAAAGCGTTGCAAACAAATTGTGATATTGCAAGGTTCACGTTCTTTTGCATCAGGGCCCTGGCGAATTGCTAACACCTCCGGCAATGTCCTGGCAAATGTCAGCAGGGCAGTCAGAACGCCTCTTTGAAAAGCACATCGGGATGCAACAGATGTAGGACAGGACCTGTGGACCAGGATGTGAAGATTTGACCCTCTTGACCTTCAACGAGTCCTCAATTCTACTCACAAGTGTCACTAGAATCCGGCTTTTCTTTGCTTTCAACATTTTTCTACTCACAAGTTTCATTCGGAGTGCTTGCTCACGTCTTCACACATATCCCAATCACTCCACCGCTTCCGTGCCGCTCCCTGATCTTGTAGGTCCACGTGAGCTGCACAGAGAAGCACGGAGGGTGGAGGCATTTTGAAAGAAAGAAAGCCAGCAGTCTGGACTAAAAGGCTTTCATGAAGAGATGCTATTCGAACAAAAAATGTCATGCAAGAAAAAAGGAGTGAAAAATTATGGTCGGGCCCCTACCATCCTTTGGTCATCTCCCTTTTGTTTGTTTCTTTACATAAATCACAAAGCTGAATCTAACGCTTGCTTTTGGGCACAAGAAACCAGCAGGACTTGCAACAGGGATATAATCGCTTCATGCGAAGTTGCAGCTTGCCGTGCAATCCCTATCCGAGACTCATGCTCAACCTCCATATCTGTCCATGCAAAGCTATCTTATCTATCTGATATTGTCAATAGCCCTGGCTTTTGGCCTCTTTGTATGCCCGCATATAGCTGCGGGGTTGGCCCATGATGCCGCGCATCAACAATACCCTGGGCAGCCCACCAAGAGTCGCACGGTGTGTGGAGCATCTAAGCAACCAGAACTGGTTCTTTCAAACATACTGCAACACCTGTTTCAGCAGCGTCTTTCAAGCGTGTCGGACAATGTCTGCGTCCGTTGCAAGCCGGTTTGGCTGATAAAACTCTGTTTAGGGGCTTCAAGCTGGGCATCGGTGCACATGCGTTCTCTCGATGTCAGACTTTGTAGTTTGCACCTGGACAAACTAAATCACAGAAATGCTCGCAAGCACTTCTGCTGCAGCATCCAATAGAAAAGGGCATGGGTTTAAACTCCTGCTACCTCATGAGCAACTCTGCTGCAGCCTTTGCTGCCAACCATTGTCACCTGCTGTGTTGTGCACTGGGGTGAGCACAATGCATGTTTGAATGAAGGTCGCTTCCACCTTAGGATCGCACCATGTTCACAGCCGAATCAACTTCAATGTTGGGCATCTCAAGCTCCGTCAAAGTGTTCTCAGCTTTGTGCAGGATCTGACGGGCCAATCTTTGCCGATGGGCCTTCCGCCATAATCCTCAGCAGTGTCGATTTCAACGTGTGTTGCATGAGGTAGGAAGGCAGTGGCGGCCTGATTGTACCGGAGAAATAAAACATGTCAAAACAGGAATAGTGCGATATTCCCCACAGTCTATGTTATCGTTGGGGTACCCGGGTACCAGGACATGGATGAGCCCTGGACGTGTTCCATACTGGTATTGGCAGTCTGGAACAAAGCTTGGGGAATCGTGGGAAGCTCAAACATTCTAGCTTTTTCTATATCAATCGAGCTGTGTCCCAACGAGCAGATTCTGCATAAGGGTCTTGTTCCATGATAGATAATTTTGAAGGAGGAGGAATCAGTGATTACGCTTCAAGCTCCATTTCAACGTAACTCTGGGCCCCCAAGCACAGGCAGGTTCTCCTGTTCAGCCCACAATTGACGACAAGGTCGCAAGCATACAGCACAGCCTATTTGTGTCACAGATCTAAAAGTGCCACATAATGTCAGACTACCAAGACTATCCGAACTTGTATACACAAATTTTTAAAAAAGGCAAAACTAGCTCACCCAACTGGAATGGCTATGTAGTAACCTAGGTCTATCCACTCTCAGCCGTGCACGTAAAGCAAAGACCACATCTTGCACGGTTAGAAGCAAAGACCCTACAACTTATTAGTCCGGTGGATTCGATCTCTATCTGCCTTCTTGTCCACAAGCACAGTGGTGTTGACTGCTGCCACCAAACCTTGAATCCATGTCGCCCGATTTCGGGATTATATAGAGCTTCTTTTGCACAGCATGGCATTGGTATTCTTGTGCCAGATTCTGGGATCAAAGACTTGGGTACAGCGCATCATACACCTCCGCTGTGAAGACGTAAAGACCTGCAAGAGTGGCAGGATAAGGTTCCTATGTAGATTCAAATTGGTGCTGCAACGCTTGAGAATTCTAGCTCTCGCTCTGTACAAAAACAACCTCCAAACTTTGCGCCATCAGACTTTTCGGATTGTGCTACTGCTATTGTTGGCTCGTTTACAAGGTCGAAAAATAGTCTTATATAGTCTTGTGGGAATGTGCGGCAATCCTGTTCATGATGTCAATTCATGAGTCCCAATTTGAACCCGAGAAAAATCCTAGTCTGTGTGCGCTGCGGACCCTTACTCTTGGGGTGCCGTTTCGTTCCGCTGCTGTGGCCTTCTTTCAGCAATGCCTGGGACAAGCAAGTCTCAACAGTATGCTCCTGACTTGCTCATGCTGAATTCACCCATTGACTAGGCCGCTTGGACTTTTCTAGTTTGTTAGTTCAAATGATCGAGCCTGTTTGGGATTGAGAAATAGTTCAACTGTCCACGGAGGCACAAATCTTCCAAGTGTTCTTGAACAAATAGGAGCTTCGACATGATTGTGCATCTCGCCTGTTTGACTAATAGCTGCGAACTGCGCGAGTTCTCAATTTCGGCGATTTCGACCATAGCACTCGGCACCTCTGCTTTGGCGATGCTTCAATGCATGGTTTCAGTGCTTCTGAGGACAAGAGCATGACGCAACTAGCAAAAAATCTCTTTGACAATGAGGAGTGCACAATGAGGTCCTGCTGGTCATCACTTCCAGCTGCCAGCTGTCTCACGCGCCACCTGCGCGCTTCTACTTGCTTGGATGATGACAAGAGCCAACGAAATCAATCCGTGCTAGGAGGAAGGACACAAGTCGAATTGACTTGTTCACGGCCAAATTGTGCTGCAAATTTGTCCAACTTCAGCAAACTTGCCAGCTCCGCATATACTGCAGCCCGGAATTGATATCCTCAAATGGTACAAGAGAAGGACAACGAGCAAACCAGGGACCAGTGCTGTACAAATAACGCTGACATTCGTGGCCATAGACTTATTTCAGTTGCTTCAGCCTCAGTTTGTGCAGGACTGGTTCTTGGGTTCCCCACTGGCAAGCTAGAGTTTTGCAGCATTCGTGCCTGTGCGGGTCAGCTGGCGAAGCAAAGGCTTGGGGGCTGACTGGACAGACCAACCACAGACCACATAAGACCACAGGTCTATCCCCAGTGCTTCGTCACGCGTCGCTGCAGGTGTCCCTCGGAGACGCCACAGCACAGTGCCCAGCCGCGTGACAGAAAATTCAGCGAAGGGGTTTGTGAGGAAGCAGTTTCTCAGTCAAACGGGTGTTTTGCATCGTTGTTGTGGTCTTTCCAACTGAAAAGGTGAAAACTCAAGGTAGTGGTGAGTGAAGAGAGGTATCACATGTAGGTCGGCATGTTCTTTGAGGGACAACATCATCAGAGTTGTCTCCTGTGGTTCCAGGCACACCCAAATCGTCCCCTCGCACTAACACACTGCCGAGAGAAAGCTTTCCAAGCAAGAATCACTTCTAACTTCTATCTTAACATTATCTCTCAAGCCCGGTGCATGAAAAAGACCTTTCTATATAGATGGGGTTTCAAGTTCGTCTTGCTGACACAAAACGAGCAATCCGATCCTTCCAAAGCAACTGAAGCAACTGTGTAGACCGAGCCGGGCGTGTTTGGTCGTCGCGCCACATGTGATTGACCAAAGCAACTCCTCTACTTCAAAGGCAGGTCATATCGGCAGCCGAAAGACATCAAAGTATGTTGCAAACATATTCCCAGCCTCGCCCTCTGTGAGTCGTCGACCCAACGTGTCCAAGGAATACATGATTTCACGTGCACGACCTCTGTCACAGCACACTCTTGCAAAGCTGGCCTTTCTTCAACACACATCATGCAAATATCATAAGGTTGGTATCAACATGTACAAAACTGATGATGTCTTTTGACGACATGTGACTAGTCACATGAGAACTGTGAACCTTTGCCAGACTTTCAACAACTGGTCCCACAGGTAGCAGCAACAGCAAAAGGCCCAGACTACCAGAGGCATCCAAAACGAAGGAGCACTGCTCGTTGTTTGCACGATATGGGCCGTTGACTTTTACCTCGGGATTGCTCTGCGCCTTCAACAGTCCACCTACCCAAGTCCCGTTCTGTGAAGCTATGCATGCTACAGCAATGCTACAATGCTACAGTACTACCTTCTGTTCGTGGCAGCATCAGACTTCATTGGACATTGCTAGAATCAAGATGTCAAAGTGATGCTCGACAACTTCCTAATTACATGTGTTTGTATGTTTTTTTCCTTTTCTGATCCATGTTGATCGACAACTTGATAAGTCAACTTGATGCTGGGGATATCCGGCCATTGGCGCTTCTAAAGGACCCACGGAGATGTGGAATGGCACGTAAGAGCCCTGAGCTGGGAAGTTCCATAAGCTCAAAAAAGCAAAACGTTCAAAGCAAAAAACAACAAACACAAATCCAAACTTCCTTGATTTGGTGATCTTGCCTCTTCAGCTCCGTGGATCGCATATGCTACACGGGCATAGAAAAGCCTCGATGTTGACTCATCAGTTCACTCAGTTGATCACTTGATGAATCAACCCGGATGAGAGTGATACTTCCATGCCATCCTTGACGAACCCATGTTAACACCAGCTCATACAAGCCAAAAAGTATCGACGCCTTGTTAAGCGTCCAAGAATAGCGCTCCTTGTCCGCTCACTGAGGCCATGAGTGACAACCGGCAAGGCACTGCAAGGCACTGCAAAGTGCTGCAAGGCACCAAGGTCCCAAGGACCCTACCACTGGCTGTTCGGCTTCATCAGCTCTCCACGCAATTGGATCTCCTCAGTGTAGAGGAAAGAATCGTTCATATCATTTTAAATAACTTTGTTACTTTGTGGTGCTCTTGGCTGGACAAAGCATATTTCTGTGCCTGAAACAAGAATGGTGAACTGGTTGAAAGCCACAGCCAGGGATAGGATGCCCGGCCAAAACGTTGGCACTTGCACTCTCGTCAGACAAAATCTGGCAGACTCTCGTCAAGGTTCTTCACAATGATACATGGAATCCTTCTATGTGGGAAGGCCCGGGAAGGCCCACTGGGGACTGCAATTTGCTGACACTTTCAGTAGTTTCTCATAAATCAACTACAAGAACCCACTGGCCATCGATTCATGTGCAAAGTTTGCAAACTGAAAACCACCTGGCCTTTGTCATTTCGAAGAGCCGGGGCTCCATCCCGTTCTTCACCTGGCAAAAAAAATACCATAGATATACTGTATGTTTACTAATATTGTATGTACCTATATATATATATAAGGGCCTAAAGCGCGCTCAGCAATGAGTTTGTCAAACTTCCTTCGAGACTTTGCCAGTGATGCTTGATTCAGTCCATGCAAAGACTGGCGGTTGGACAACTTTTGCCCGGAAATTGACAAACTTTCTCCACTGTGGTCCCCTTATATAAGTTTGATGCCTTGGACGTCTAGTCTAGATCATCTGCCCTTCTTGTGGCTATTTCGTCTCGTGCACCTCGCCATAGTACCAATCAACCACCACACGGCTCTCTGAGCCATCTGGGTTGGGTGCCCGAGTGAGATTGCACCTGGCCAGTGAGGAGTCTTTCCAATCCAGGCCTTTTCAGTACACATGGCTTTTAACTGCATTTACAATTTTCACTCAGATCCACATACTTGGCAGCAATACAGTAAACCGCATGTCTGCCATGGAGCGTCCAACAATAGGGGTTGCGTTAAAGGGGGCTCACGTCAACCCGCCAGGCATCTTTTTTAATGATTCTGGGGGGGGTTGTGAGGTGGGTTGCTGATAATGATTCTGACCGTCATCCACGGTCAGAATAATTTCCTGAAATCTGCAGACTAGTCTATGCACTCCCCCTGACAAACTGATACAACTGAGATCAAACTCTATAAACACAAATAAACACAAATGAATCTTCTCAGGCGCATTCAAACATGACATTGAAAAACGCAGCAATCATCAATTTAGTATGTAAAAATGATTCTGGTACATCGTTGAAACCCCTATGAACCCCCCTCTCAAGAAATGATTCCAAGAAAATGATTCCAGAATTATTCCACCCATCGACGTACCCCCTGGAATATTTATTTAGTGCAAGGCCTATTCCAAAAAACGCTATTGAAGTCAAACCTTGAAAGGATCTTGTTGCACCAAACAACGAGCACAAATGGTTCTGGCATTGATTCAGCTATTACATCCAATGACGCAAATTCAAATTACAATGTATATTCGTCCTTGCACCACAATTGTCTTGGAGCCGACTACCTGACATCCCACTTGATCAACCAAGCTGCGAGCAGCGGCCGATCATTTGAGCATCGCTCTCACTCGACACCTGGCCCATCAAGGCAACTGCATGCTGGGAAACGAGCCGTTATGCCAAACACACAAAATTATTTGTAGGTAAAATGTCAACCCTAAACTTAGACATTGTTCCAGGAACAAGCAGGATAAACGAGTATGATGCAAGTAGTGGTGCCTTCTTCCCCAAACAGTTTACTGTTACGGGTTCCCAGTTCTTTCTTAAAATGTGTCCGCCCTTTGTGTCGCTGCTGGTGCCCGCCCGCTGGCCCATGTAGCATTTCTTTTCATTTGTCTCCGGTGTCCGCCCTTTTCCGCTGGCGATGCAACATTTCTATTCATTCCCGAAACAGTTTGCCGTTCCGTAGGGTTTCTCAATTCTTTCTTAAGATGTGTCCGCCCTTTGTGTCGCTGCTGGTGTCCGCCCTTTTCCGCTGGCCATGTAGCGTCTCCCAGGTCTGTCACTGCTGGTGTCCGCCCTTTTCCGCTGGCGATGCAACATTTGTATTCATTTGTCTCCCAGGTCTGTCACTGTCCGCCCCTGGCCATGTAGCATTTCTATTCATTTGTCTCCCAGGTCTGGTGTCCGCTGGCAATGTAGCATTTCTATTCATTTGTCTCCCAGGTCTGTCATCCCAGCTCTGTTGCTGCTGTTGTCCGCCTTTTCCGTCAACCATGTAGCATTTCTGTTCATTTGTCTCCGAGTGTCTCCCTTCTGTCTCTTCTGTTTCCTTTTGTCTCCTTCCTTGTTGGTCATTGTGTTCGCCTTGTCTTCCTTCTGTTTCTTTTTGTCTCTGGTCTTGTCCCCCTTGTTGTTGGTCACTGTGTCTGTCTTGTCTCCCTTCTATTTCCTTTTGTTTCCCTTCTTGTTGGTCATTGTGTCCGCCTTGTCTCCCTTCTTGTCTCCCTTTGTCTCCGGTCTTGTCTCCCTCTTGTTGGGTACTGTGTCCGTTTTGTCTCCCTTCTGTTTCTTCTTGTCTCCCTTGTTGCCCCGCTTCTTGTTGGTCACTGTGTCCGCCTTGTCTTCCTTCTTTCCTTTACATGTGCCTCCTCTCTCCCCCTCTCGCTTGCAGTCTCCCAGCTGCTCTGCCCTGCAATCCTTTGCATTTGTTTTTTAGGTCTGGGCTGCTGCGTCTGCCTCTGCCTTGCAACCCTTAATTTTACACGTGTCTCCCAGCTCTGACTGCTGTGTCTGCCCCTGGGCTGCGTGTCGCTTGCAATCCTTTACATTTGTCTCCCTGTGTCTACATTTGTCTCCCAGCTCTGGACTGCTGTGGCCGCCTCTGCTTGCAATCCTTTGTCTCCCAGCTCTGGACGTCGTAAGCCCTAGTTGCAGAGTGTTCCGGTTTTGAAAAGCGCAAACCGTTTGGGGTCTACGGTGGTGTAATTTGTTAGCTACATGATACACGCGCAAGAATTCTCAGCATATCACAGGCACCCACATGCCCTTTTTGGTTCTCTGGTTTGTGGACAAAATATTAGACAGTCACTGAGCTCAAGTAAGGGTTGAAAATAAATGAGTAAGTTCTTCAATTTGTTTTCGCGTCGCTGCGTCATCATCACCTCATCCGTTCATTGACCACCACATCTGTAACGCTCAAATTGCACCACTCAAACACCGAAACGTTTGAAATGTCGCGAAAACAATCAATTTTGAGTGCGCCGGCACAGGGGGCCGGCAGTGTCTCAACTGGGTCAACTGGGACCATTGGTTCTGATGGAGAGAATGTCTCGACTCAATCAGCCGGGACCGGCGACTCTGATGGAGACAGTGTCTCAAGTCTCAAGTGGGTCAACTGGGACCATCGGCTCGGATGGAGGCAATGCCTACTGGAACCATTGGTTCGCATGGAGTGCTTGAACTGGGCCCACGCAGGCAGAGTCTCAAATGGCTCCAGTGGGGCCGCGTCAACTGGATCAGATGGGTCTTCGCTTGAGGTCCGGTCAGCTCTCGACCCGTTGGAGGACCGGGCCCCAACCAAGGTCCCGTTGGTGGAAAGGGCCACAACCAATCTCAACACAGGACGTCTGGCGTTGAGCTTGGTCTTTGCATCGTCACCTATTTACTAGTAGTGGTAGTGGTGGGGGTAGTGGTAATGGTGGTCGTGGTGCTAGTAGTAATTGTAGTATTAGTACTGTGGTGGTAGTAGTAGTAGTAGTGGTGGTAGTAGTAGTAGTAGCAGTAGTAGTAGTAGTGGTAGTAGTATAGTAGTAGTAGTCGTCGTCGTGGTGGTGGTGGTGGTGGTGGTGGTGGTCGTGGTGGTGGTAGTAGTGGTAGTGGTAGTGGCAGTGGTAGTGGGAGGGGTAGTGGTCGTGGTAGTTGTGGTACTAGTAGTAATAGTAGTGGTAGTAGTAGTAGTGGTGGTGGCGGTGGTAGTAGTAGGAGTAGTAGTAGTAGTAGTAGTAGTGGTAGTGGTAGTGGTACTAGCAGTTATAGTAGTAGTAGTGGTGGTGGTGGTGGTGGCGGTAGTAGTAGTAGTAGTGGTAGTAGTAGTGGTAGTAGTAGTAGTGGTAGTAGTAGTAAAGTAGTAGTTAGTCGTTAGTAGTTAGTAGTTAGTAGTTAGTCGTTAGTAGTCAGTCGTTAGTAGTTAGTCGTTAGTAGTTAGTCGTTAGTAGGCAGTAGTTAGTAGTTAGTAGTTTGTAGTAGCAGTAGTAGTAGTAGTAGTCGTAGTCGTAGTGGTGGTAGTAGTGGTAGTGGTAGTAGTAGTAGTAGTTAGTAGTAGTAGTCAGTAGTAGTTAGTAGTAGTTAGTAGCGGTAGTAGTAGTAGTAGTAGTAGTAGTAGTAGTAGTGGTAGTAGTAGTGGAGTAGTAGTAGCAGTAGTAGTAGTAGTAGTGGCAGCGGTAGTATGTAGTAAGTAGTAAGTAGTAAGTAGTAGTAAGTAGTAGTAAGTAGTAGTAAGTAGTAGTAAGTAGTAGTAAGTAGTAGTAGTAGTAGTAGTAGTAGTAGTAGTAGTAGTAGTAGTAGTAGAGTAGTAGTAGTATTAGAAGTAGTATTAGTAGTAGTAGTAGTAGAGGTAGTGGTAGTGGTAGTGGTAGGTGGTAGTGGTAGTGGTAGTAGTAGTAGTAGTAGTTGTAGTTGTAGTAATTGTAGTAGTTGTAGTAATTGTAGTAGTAGTAGTAGTAGTAGCAACAGCAGCATTAGTAGCTGTAGTAGCCGGAGGAGCGGCAGCGGCAGCAGTACTAGCAGCAGCAGCAGGAGGAGGAGGAGTAGGAGTAGGAGTAGGAGGAGTAGTAGTGGTGGTGGTGGTGGTGGTGGCCGTACAATGTACTAGAACTACTTTGGCGCTTTTTGGGTTTATCTAGGTTGTAACCAGACTTATAACCACTTAGGTCACGCTGATTTCCTGCAGACTTAGCGGGAGTTATAACAGACTTAGGATCACTTAGCTCCGCGGCCACGTTAACGCACGAGGATTGACCACGTTTGGAGCACGAGGGTTGCAAAAACATGCTATGTTAAGTTGAAAAACCATACGGGGACCAAACAAAAGCAGGTCAAACGCTTTTTCCAACAGTTGGATGATCTAATATGTTGGTGTATTTCTGTTGAAAGACTACCGCTGTATTGAAACAAAAAGCAAGAACACATATAGATAATTTCTTTTGCTTTTTGGCCCCACAGTCGTCTGGGAATGCTGCAGCAGCCTACTTCAAAATATCAACCAGAACGTTTGTTGCTTTAGACACGCAAGGTGGTGAATACCACCCCTTGACTAACGCAAACATAAACAACCAGCGCAGAACCAATTCATTGTTTGAAGAGACAAGCCGTTCCAACAAGGTACAGTGAAAATAATTTCGATCATCACTTACTGGAACTTTTTGAAATTTGGATTTGTTAAGCGTCTGGCGGAGGTGCATCCTTCTGTGTCATCACCAGGTGAAAAGTTGAGACATCCCGAGACATCCCCGAACAAAAGAAACAGGTTTGAGTGGAAAATGCAAATTTCAAGGTTTTAGTCCTGATACGGCCCTGATACGGCTCTGAAACGGGTCTGATACGGCCCTGATACGGCATTTTTTGCGAGAGCGGTTTTCCAAATTGGGCCATAACTTTTTTAGGGACATCGTAATTTGGAAAAATTGGGTCATACTATTTTTTTGCGGGCATCATATTTTTGTAACAAAGCGAAGCCTCAATTTTTTTGGCGCAATAAAGAACTTGGCAGCAGATAAGTGCATCAAATGTGTGGCTTGATAAATTGAAAACAATGCTGTCAGTACAAAACAGATTTGACGTGAGCCTCTTCCAACGAAACAGCCGGTTCTGACAAAAACCGGTCAAAGAAACCCAGAGCCCCAGAGTCGACTGGTTGAAGTACTTCCTGCAGGAAACTCTTTGTATATACCAGCGCAAGATAGACCAGAAACAAGGTGGATCTAATCCATTTTGTTCACACGTAGACGCAGCTGACATAGTCGGAGTTGAGCTCTTTGACGAATATCTTCTTAGATAGTTGTTGGCCCGTTTCTTGAATAAAAGCAGGGTTGAATGAAAGAATGGAATAATGCTGGCAGAAAATGTCTGCGCGCAAGCGACAGAAGAAACGAAATGCCCTCGCACAAAAAGAGTGGAAAGGAACGCTCAAAAAATGTGAAGAAGTTTACATAATTGGGAAACCCACGAGAAGCCTATGGACTTAGCTCACTTAGCTAAGTCCACTTACAACCACTTGCCACGTTGGATTCTCGTTGAACCTAAGTCCACTTACAACCCACCTAACCAGATGCAAGTCACTTGTAAAGTGTGCATCACTTATAACTCAAAATATCTCACGTAGCATGGTTATAAGTATGCTTGACTGGGTTGTAAGTCCAGATAGCCAAGTTATAAGTCAAGTTGTAAGCCAACCAATTACAAAAGGCACCAAAGTAGTGCTAGAAAACGACACGGTGTCTAGACTGTCTGTGAGTACGACGTTGCCGGTGCACGGGTGACCTGTTCAGATCTGGAGAGTTCCCAACTTGTCAGAGGAAAGGGTTCCATCCAAGCTCAACACGGGACCCCTAGTGTTGAGCTTGGTTTTTACCGTTCAGACGACCTTATTTTACACCTACGATGTTGCCGGCGCACGGGTCACCTGTTTAGATCTGGAGAGTTCTCAACTTGTCAGAGGAAAGGGTTCCATCCAAGTTGTCTAGACTGTCTGTGAGTACGATGTTGCCAGCGCATGGGTCACCTGTTTAGATCTGGAGAGTTCTCAACCTGTCAGATGAAAAGGGTTCCATCCAAGCTCAACAGGGAACCCCTGGTGTTGAGCTTGGCTTTTACCGTTTACATTGCCTGATCCTACGGCTAGCGCTAGTAGGGCCCCATCTTTGATCGAACGTGCCCAGTACTACTCGTTGCCAGACCCTAAGAATTCTTAGGTCTTGCAATGACCGCTTTATATCGTGTGAAAGTGGGTCGTCTTGAAAAGGCATACTGGGAAAAAATGAAGCAGGTGGTGGTAGTAGCAGTAGTAGTCGTAGTCGTAGTAGTAGTCGTCGTCGTCGTAGTAGTAGTAGTGGTAGTATAGTAGCAGTAGTAGTAGTAGTAGTAGTAGTCGTAGTGGTAGTGGTAGTGGTAGTCGTGGTAGTAGTGGTAGTAGTGGTAGTAGTGGTAGTAGTGGTAGTAGCAGTAGTAGTAGTAGTAGTAGTAGTGGTAGTAGTGGTAGTAGTGGAAGTAGTGGTAGTAGTGGTAGTGGTAGTAGTGGTAGTAGTGGTAGTAGTAGTAGTAGTAGTCGTAGTAGTGGTAGTGGTAGTATGAGTAGTAGTTGTAGTGGTAGTATGAGTAGTAGTAGTAGTAGTGGTAGTAGTGGTAGTAGTGGTAGTAGTAGTAGTAGTAGTGGTAGTAGTGGTAGTAGTGGTAGTAGTGGTAGTAGTAGTTGTTGTTGTAGTAGTAGCAGTAGTAGTAGCAGTAGTAGCAGTAGTAGTACGAGTAGTACGAGTAGCAGTAGCAGTTGCAGTAGTAGTCGTCGTCGTCGTCGTTGTGGTCGTCGTGGTCGTAGTGGTAGTGGTAGTGGTAGTAGTAGTTGTTGTTGTTGTTGTCGTTGTGGTTGTCGTTGTAGTAGTGGTGGTGGTGACGGTGATATTAGTGGTGGTGGACACAGTTGACCCGGTTGAGACCAGTTGACCCGGTTGAACCCAGTTGACCCAGTTGAACCCAGTTGACCCGGGGTCAACTGGGTCAACTGGGTCCGGAGATTCAGCGTGGCCCCGTATGCGGTCGCAATGACAATTTTGTAGATTCTGACAAAGCAGTTGCAAAAAACATGGACTTTGACTGACTTTGACCCAATACTTACAGAGGCGAATGGGGCACTGACCTTGCTTGATTTTGCGTGGCGTCTGCACTGCTGGGTAATCTGCGGGGATTTGTTGATATGTCCTGATGCTTTGTCGTCGGTGTCATTTGTGATGACTTTCACATGAAAAATAACATGAAATCATATTTCCAAGTGCTCTTTGCCCTCACGTCATTAATTTCTTTTGGAAGCTTCAGGATTGTTGCCGTGCCTCCAAACGTAGCCTGTTCACTGGGTGGCCCTGTAAGCGCTGTGGAGAGACGGTCACCTCAAAAAGCAAACATCCTTTCTTGTGAAACAAGAAAAGACACTACAGCAAGTTGGTCCAAACCACATGCAAGCTCTGGCTAACGATCAAAGCCACACCGCCTACTTACCGCATGAATGAGAGTTGCAGGTCTCCCGAAATTGTCATACAACGCATGTGACAAGCTGACCGGCGATTTCGAAATCTCAGTATCTCCCTGTGCATTTTGCTACGTTCACAATAGTATCTCCGGTTAACACAAATAGAATTTGACACGGCCCATGGCATGCAAGCTGGCCTCTGTAGGGCCTACAGCACCAGCCGCAGGAATGCGCCTCAGTTCGACCTATTGACATGAGAAGAATATGACATTTATATGACTACCGCTCTGACCCAAGCTGTGTCAATGAGCCTGGCTTTACTCAAAAATCAGAGGTTGCAATGAGTATCTTTGCTCTTACCTTCTCAAAAGCCTTATAAAGTGAGGTCTTCTGAGAAACCAGGGTGCCAGAGTCAAATTAAACAACGCTATAGGCTATAGTGTTACTACTGCCAAGACTAAAGTGCGAGGCGGGCAGAGTGTGAGCTCTTCTGTGTTCGAAGAAGGACACGCGACATTGACGCTTATCCTCTACCTCTGGTGGGTGGTTCCAGGATTCGTCTGGGTTGTTTTGTCATTCCAAATCTTCCTGTGTGATTATATACCCTCCCATGGCCTCAAGCAACTTCTATAACCCAGCAATCATCACAACCAATAGCTTTCTCGATCATCTCCCATACTAAGAGAGAGAGAGAGAGAGAAAGAGAGAGAGAGAGAGAGATGCTCTGAGAATATCCCATCCAATGGTTGCTGACGAATCGTGCTTTCAATGCCACTAGTCCAGCCTTTTTGGGCGTAGTTTCTTTGGGGGTTGTTGAGAGGTTGGAAAAAGGACACGAGCTACTGGTGCTGCAGTACGGCGAGGCCAGTGTTGAGGCAAGTCTTTGAATCACAGCTGAACACCAAGTGAGTGAGGAGAGTCTTTCCTCTGGCCTGAAACACCCTCACAACTACCTCAAAACCTAAAATGGAGTCCCGGCTACTTTCCACGACTCCCCCTGCGTGATCCCGGCGTCAGTGGCAAAATGCGCGTGGTCCACCTACCATAGGCTTTGTAGCCTTAAAAGAATCGAAGACCGGCCAAGGAGACAAAACAAATCAAAATGCTCATGAAATTTCTGTTCTGCGTTTGCTTAGACAAAACTAGAGGTGCACTCACATGACAGCGCTCCCCTAAAGCCACCGATGCGACCAATGACCAAATACTTTGCCATCGTGTTTCTTGGGCCTCAAGCCATCAGCCCTTGTGAGTGTCACACCAACAGTCAGTTGTGACAACCTCAGCTATAGCACGCCATACCGCAGAATTTGGCTTAACGGTGACGAGAAAGGGTCTGAATCAAGTGGATCAAGGCACAAATTGCACTGCATTCTTCTTTGTTTTTGAAGAAAAACATCTATTTGGGACACCCAAACCCGCACCAGGTGGAAGAAGGAATGACAACTCGAAGTTCACACCTGAGCTGCGGCAGAACAAGTCCAAACACGGTCTGGCAAAGCAGGCTAAAACCTCTCCACTACACAGCGAAGATCTCACTCTTCGAAGGCCCATGCATGCTCGTAGTACCCCGAAAAGGGACTTCGAAAAAGCAATGCCAAGCTTGTCAATAAACATTGCTCTCTTGAAGGTCTTGCTTCCGAAGGTCTCTCGATGAATTTATTTGCGACGCAGCCGCAATGTATATAAATTAGAAGGTGTCCTGTACACACACACAATTAGATAAAGGTTCATCCAGTGAGGTAACCCACAGAGAAAGGAATGGCATAACGGAAAGGTGGCTGAGTCCGCGGGGTTGAAGGTGCTTCAACAAAATTGTTGCAAAATCTGCGGTGGCAACGGCGCGGCTGCAATCAGCAGGAATTGGGTTTTGAGGACCATGACATCAAAAATCAGCGGCAGGGTGGACCAGTGGTGTCAGTGTGTTCGAGGCAGGTACGCTGGGAGGATCAGTCCCAGTATCACCAGGAAAGCGAGAGCGTCTTCGTTGGTGGCAGACTCTCGTTCCTGCTGCCACCCCCGGTAGAAAAAGAAGCGGTAAGGGAATCCTCCTGGTTCCGGAGGGTGGCACACACACAATTGGCCGATTATCGGCGCAAAGAGTCGGAAGTGGAGCACTCTTTTAGTCCTTCAAAACCTGAGTAGTCACCTGACAAGCCTTAGACAAGAAAAGAAAAGAGAAAAGAAAAAGAGAAACGAAGAGGGCAAGAAAAAACAGATGTGTGTAGGGGCGTGCATGTCTGCCGCGCGAGCGGCAAATTACGGTGTCAAAACCTGATTAGCCACCTAACGGGCCTTTGAAAAGAAGAAAGAACAGAAAGAGGAAAACACAAATAAGGCAAGAGAGAAAGATAGGAGTAGTGAAAGTTGATGAGCGCTTAGCGCTTGAATACTTAGCCCTTGACTAAAAGGAAAAATACATCATTACGAACCAAAAAAGCCACCACGCCTTCCTCTGGTGATCCCAGGGCTCAGGCCTTGATTTTCGCGCTGTGCCTACAATCCCACTCCCTAGGCACACTCCAGCCCGGACATCAAAGCAAAGCCAGAGCCCTTTTCCAGGGCCTGATCACCTTGCCTACCTATGTCCAATCCAGAGTCACTGTGATCGCGCAGTTGGCATCGGTTTGGGAAGGATGGACATCCCCAACCAAGCGCAAAGGTTTCCATGACCTTGCCCAAGGATTGGAGGGCGACCTCTTCAAGCGGGTCACACCTCTCTACATCAGCAAGCAACAAAGCAGACCGGATGCGCCGGCCTCAGAACACCACCTCAGGAAGCGCCAGCGGGACGCTGCCCTGGCAGCCTGGGAGCGAGCCAACACTATATACAGCAAGCAGCAGGAGGACTGGTAACAGACTCTGGACAAGGACCACACCAAGATTTACCAGCACGCAGCCAACAAGCCCCAGAGGATTTTCCAGGATCCTCAGCACTACATCCATGACAAGCCCATCAAAAGAGCAGGGCCGCCAAGCAATACAAGAAACGCTTGGTCCAACAATGCAAGCGGCCGTGGACTGAAGGGCAACACCAGTGGAAACCACAGAAGTGGCTGTCAATGCCAAACCTGTCAGGCTCGAATCCACCAGGGATACACGGGCCACTATCGAGCAGCGCCTTCAAAAGCCGTGTCCACAACTCAGTTCCGAGGCCCGAGAACCAGATTTGCCACCCAACAAAGCCATTGGCAAAAAGCCAGCCAATTCTCAAAAAATTGCAGAGATCCTACGACTCCAGCAGCAACACCCAGCCGCTCAGAATGAGTATGCCTTCGCGGAGACAACCGGCTACTTCAAGTGCACCAAGTGCCAAGGCTCTGTCCACAAGAGAGCCAATGAGGAGACTTTCAACAGACACAACTCCAACAGCATCTACAACAACAACAACAACAGCATCCCTGGTACCAGGTCAAGGGACCCATGGCAGCAGTGATCACATATCTGGCAATTCACGGCACCGAGAGCTCCAAGACTATGGGAATGGGCCAGAACTGGAACTGGATCTGACTGAACCATGGTGGAAGATCGAAGCCATTCTGCGACCCACCAGCGCATGCGGCAACTCCGCCAACACAAACACTGTCAGCACCTACGAGACGGGCTAGACTGGCATGTGTACACACAGATCCAGCGCAAGGCCAAGAAAGAACAAACCACAGCTTTGAAGACATGGGTTCAAGGGGCCATCAGGTACACCAGTCCACTGATGACAAATGCCCTCTGTGCCAAGCCCCGGACCTCCATCACCGTGGACGGGGCCAACTACATTTCCCATCTCCTGGACCGAGAGGGTCACCAATCAGGATGAGGATCCACTGTGGTCGAGAGGATGGATCAGATATGAGCGCGAGGGCACGGGCTTTGGCAGCATCTCGGAGTACTAGATCTTGCGGATCATGGAGGCTATGTCGTCACCATTGACGCCGCGCCAACTACCTATGACACCAGATCCCAAGGTTGGGTCTTTGCTTTGTGCCTCCACACTCTCAGCATGGGCCAGCTCCAATGAGTTGCGGCAATCACAGGCCTACCACCTGGACAGCAAACCAAAGCCAGGGCACTCTACTACGGTATGCATGACTTGGCCCAGCGCACCAACCAGCCCATCAAGCTGGTGGTACAATTGGTGGCAGTTTGGGATGCTTGGACTGGCGCCAAGCGCCATCACAACTACCAAGACCTTGATGCCTTGCACCACATTGAAAACAAGAAGAAAGTCATTGCTCTTTATGTCGGCGCCCAAGCTTGAACTCCAGACCAGCCTGGGGCTGAGCCACATCTTCGTCGACGACAGCGTGATGCGGGCCTGACTGCATGGGAAAGAGCCAAAGAGCTGTATGACCACACAAAGGAAGAATGGCTGCAGGCTCTTGATGATGACCGTACGCAGGTTTATACCCAGGCGGTTGAGAGGATCTGCGCCATCCACAAGGATCCTTCGCACTATCCACGACAAGCGGTCTCAGGCCACCAACACCAAACAATACAAGAAGAGGCTTGTCAACAAATGCACCGAACCACCAACAGCAGAGGGTCATCAATGGGCCAAGCACAGAAGGGGCTACCAATGTGCCCTCTGCAGCACGCGTATCCATCAAGGGCCGTGACCATTGAACAGAAGCTGAATGAACCCTGCGAGAGCAAGCTCAACACCAGCCCCCCCGCAGACAGCAAAGACCAGCTTGAGGCCAAGATCCCAAAGAAGGCCACCAGAACCCAGCTCATCCAGGAGTTGCTCCAAAACCAACCACCTGAGCGCACCGCTGGCCAATACCATTTCATTGAGACAGCGGGCTATATCAAGTGCCAGCATTGTGGAAGTGCCATTCTCAATCAACAGTCCTTGCATCGATGAAGCCTACAAAGGGGAGGCCATTGGGCACGCCGCCCATTGTTTGTGGCAACTTGGCACCAAAGTCACTTGCAAACACTGTGGCTTGGCAGTCCTCACGGACAAAGACAATAGGCTGATCATCACGCAAACCTTGAAAAAGGAATGCAAAGGAGCCCCAGGCTTGAGGACATACTTTCCTACTCAACTGTCCAGCCAAACTGCCAGCGCGGGACCCCAAGCATCAAAGGCCACCGCCAACGCAGGCCAGGATGTAGACGATGCACTCCGGTCTGCCCAGCATTTCTGGCGCCACAAGGGCTTGAAAACAGATGTATCAGATACATCTGTCCTGCGTCCAGGGGCCAACACCGAACCTGGCCCCACCACTCCAACTCGAGAAGCCACAAGAGGCACACCCAGTCCCAGTCGACATCCCGAGAGCACCGACGTCCTGGCGAGGCGGAAGAACTCACTCTCAATGCCGACGTCGCTATGATGCCTACCCAGCCGGACGAGGCCACAACAAGTGACCACACAAAGGACGAGGAGGACACAGTGATGGTCGACTTCTTCCAGAACCACCTCTGGCTGGAGCGGCGGCAGCAGGGTCAATAAGACCCTTCGTTCAGCAGTCACAAAAGAGCCTCCCTATTAAAAAATAAAACATACATACATACATACATACATGCACGTCAAAGACCTGCTGCATCACCAAACCCAGACCCCGCCGGCCCACACCGAGCACCAGTATGCTGAAACCACAGGCTATCTGAAGTGCCTCGCGTGTGGCATCAATATCCACAAAAGGATCAATGAGCCGACCTTTCAACAGTTCATCACCAGTCAGTGCATTGACCAAGCCTTCACTGATACCCATCCGGGACACTCCAGCCACAAACTCTGGCAGAAGGGAGATCGTGTACGATGCACTCAATGTGGCACCCAGTGGCACCTTGATGGCGAAAGGAGAGTCATCTCCACACAAGCCCTCCTCAAACCTTGCAGAGGAGCAGGCATGAAAGCCTCCCTGCCACTCAGTGAATACTTCAAAAAGAAGACAGAAGACTCCAGCACCCCTGACGAAGACAGCCAGCCTCCACCACCGAACAGCAACCCAGGAGTCAGCACCGGCTCTGGACCCATGCCACTTAAGGAGGTTGCACTTCTCAACTCAGCTGGACGAGAGCCAAGAGGCTACCGATGACGAAGCAGGAGGCATCATGACTGTGGACTACTTCTGAGAAGTGGTGCTCCACTCACTGAGGCATAAGGCCTAGGAGACCTGCCAAAATGGCACCGTGCACACACCTCTAGGAAAAAAATACATACATACATACATACATACATACATACATGGCTCAAGGCCGTTAAGCTCTCAAGGTGGCAGCCCGTCAAGTCCACCTAGTGTGGAACTCCCCTTTCGAACATAGCCGGGAGTTTGCCATCACCTCGAGCTCGGCCATCACCGATTACAACACATTCATTGCCCGCAATCTTGGTCTACCCCTTGGCCGCTATTGTTGACCTCTTCGGCGCCTGGCTGATCTCGCCACAACCTCCTCGGGGAACTGGAGGCGACTGGCACTTCAGCTCTGACACTCTCCTGGGCCTGATTGTGTTCGG